CGTCAACCATGTTTGATATGGGATGCCTACCAATAATCTCAAATGATCATGGAATATCCACCAAGAATGCAGATCGTAGATCATTTCGGACAGAAGTTATGCTGTATGTTGTTGTTGTTGTTGTTGTTGTTGTTGTTGTTGTTGTTGTTGATCTTCAACAGCATCTTTTCTACCGACCATTTGGGGATGGTGTTACCCTCTGGTAAACTAACATAACTATGGAAAGATCCACCATTTTTAATGGGAAAATCAACTATAAATGGCCATTTTCAATAGCTATGTTAGTTTACCAGAGGGTATACCACACACTTCTGGTTATTTTGGGGATGGTTGTGACGCCCAAAAAGCGCAGGCGGTTGAGGAGCGACAGAGGAAGGAAGTGGCCGTCGAGGCGTTAAACCAGCAGGTGCTGCTTGGATCTCCGTGGTTTTTGGTGGCTTTGTCCTTGAAGATCTTAAGTTAACATAAGTTAACCAATATTGGGTGTGTCTTTTCATGGGGGCTTTTTCGTAAAGAAACATGATGTTTATGGGCATGATTCCATGATGAATCATCGTGTCACCAAGGCCTTAGCCGTGGCCCGGCCACCACAGTTTACAGAAATTCTGGGGCACCCGCGGTAGCGAAATCGCTAAGTTCACACAAAGTTCACTAGGCTAAGTATGGTTTATGGATGTTTATGGCGGGATATGACATGATATAAACTATAGTTAATGGAAGTTATAAGCCGACTAAAAACTTGGGTGTTTCCACCTCGTGTCAGCTTGGGGATTTTGTATGCCAAATCTATAACAAGGATTCAAGGGGCATTTACGCACTTGACATCAGAAAAACTCATACGCACTTTGATGACCAATATTTTGAAGAAGACTGCTATGTGAAGCTGTTTCACATGGGACGTCTTCTTGAAGTCTATGCCGAAGAATATGAGGTGTTGAACGAATTGTCCCACACCATCAGCCTGAACAGCCATGCTTTTGCCCAGTTTGCGCGTTCGAGGCAGTCTTTTCTAGGGGAATTTCACCATCGATGGTGATTTCATGACGTGTCATATCCAATGATCTGGTTGTTTCGAGCCTCGTTGTTTTTCCTCTGTTCCAGCAGTCACTGTGACGACTATCCTCTGGTAATTTAACAGTTTGCTATTGAAAATGGCACGTTTACTTCGTTGATTTACATTTTAAAGAGTGTGATTTTCCATAAACCAACATAACTATGGAAAATTAGAATATCACCATTTTTACTAGGTAAATCAACCATCAATGGTCATTTTCCATAGCTCTTTTTGTATGTTTACCAGCATGGGTATCCTCCAATCTTCCCCCAGGCGCAACCGCCATGCCAGGTGGAGTTGTACTGCTCTGAGCTGCAGGAACTGCATCAGTCCCTGGAGCAGCTCCAGCAGAACGAGGTCAGCGTCGCTTCAAAGTGGGGGGGGCCACGGCGGTGAATGGGATATGGGGGTTTCCATAAATGGGAGTATCCCAAAATGGTTGGTTTGTTTCATGGAAAATCCCATTAAAATGGATGATTGAGGGGTACTTCCATTTCAGGAAACCTCCATATGTATGGTATATGTTGGAAACTAATGGCTATTTAATGGAAAGAATAAAGAATGAAAATATCAATCACTTGATATTCACGTCAAAAAATACCAAATGTCATATGTAAACGTTCATGCTACCAAATGTCTGGCTTAAGTACATATTCCTGTTATCTATATATATATATACACATACATACATTATTCTTCTCATGGTTAAGTGTTCATGGTAAAACGCCATATTTTTCTATACCTTTAATTAAGACCATCTTTGGGGGGATGAACATCCATTGAATTCCCAGCGAAATTCTGGGATTCACCAGGATACCAGGCGACCCACCGCCACCTTACGCAGGAGGCGGCCCAAAGCGGCTTTCAAAGGGGCGACAGTGAGCTGGCGGCTGCTCGGCCCCGCCAAGATGGGATGGTCGTTACTACCGGGTATACATAGAAATATATAGAAAAAGATGTGGAAAACCCATGGACAACAGCAGGAGAATCGTCTATAAATGGTTGATGTTCCACATCTGTGTTAATTTACCTTGGGGTAGCCACTGGAATTTTGGGAGGGTTTCCGATCCATCCATGTTCAGACAAAACATAGTTAGGAAAGTAACCAGATCAACTAGATCATCATTGTTTGTTTCCATGATCTGGTGGATTGTTTCTGGTTGGCTGCTACATTTTCAGTTGAAAAACATTGGTGTTTTCAAAAAACTTGAAATCACCAAGCTGGACATCGGCCGCTGAAAATTCCGCTGGATGCTGCCCAGGTCCTTCGAAGCCGAATGAGTGAAGCAACGCAAACGCTCGAGATGCAGGAGTTAATTTGGTCTGGGCCAAAAACTAGTGGTTTTATAAACTGTTTGAAAAGATCCACAGTTACCCACTTGTTTAAAAATCATTTTTGGGGAATCATATGGAATAATCAATTCACGATCACCCCCGGGTCTTGTGCTTCTCCCCTGCATGGGGTGGATTTGTTTAAAAGGATGGGGTGGACCCCTGGGGCGGCACTAAGGGATATTTTCTTCCCGAAGAGCACCTTCTATCCTCCCCCCTAGCATGCGCAAGAGGGTATTTTTCGGCTCACAGGCGTTTTTCTGCACCTGTCACAGGCCTGTTCCCCCACCCTCCTTTCCTGTATTCTTTTGCATTGCATTCTTAGGCTCTTACGGATATTTGCTTGCCTGGGTACATTTTAACTCCCAAATTAAACTTGCCGGCTTGAGCGTCATTGCTGCTCTTCTCGATCCCATTCTTCCTTGTGCTCCTTTATGAGTGTCTGTGTGTGTGTGCGTGTGTGGGTGGGTGTGTCCCTTCCTTTTCTCCCTTTTTTTCTTTTCCCTTGCCCTTTCCCCTGCTTTTGGTTCTGTGTGGTGCGTCTTGTCGTTTTCCCTTGTCCCCCTTGTGTTCTTGTGGCGTTGGTGATTTGGATGCGGGGGGATTTCTGCCCGCCCCTGGCCTCTTGAACTGCCAGCTTCTACCTGCTGGCTCTTTGTTTGGTGAGGTTTGGTTGTCAGGGTGTCCGTGGGCTCCTTGCGTTTGTTTTGCCAGCTTCTGCCCGCTGCTAGCTTCTGCTCGCTGGCTGCTTTGGTGAGGTTTGTTTCTTGGGGCTTGTTTGTGCCTGTGTGGCTTTTGTTGGCGCTGTCTTAGTTGTCTGCCTTGCGTGGTGTGTGCATTGTTCTATCTGATCTCTTCCCTGGATCTTCTCTCCGATCCAGTACTGTTGGGCTTGTCTGGTTCCTACCTTCCCTCCCATGGGTAAATGTCGCCTCATCCCCTCATTTTCTGGCACGTGATTCGGGGATCAGGTGCACTGCAAAGGCTCTTCTGTTAACTCTTTTGTTACACGGGCTGACAGTCTGGGGTTTGCTCTGCGGATGGTGGGGCCCGTGATATTGCACCACAACCGAAGGCTGCTTTGATGGTGGCAGAATGGCGTCTCCCTTAAAAAATAATCCAATGGTCCAACCACGTACTGGATTATTTTTGCTGTTAATTTTCCAGATAGATTATTTTTGCGTTGGGGTTCACATAGTCTCAGATGTCCTGAGTCCTGAGTATGTATATTAAGTATAGCTATGTATAGCTATATCACTCCTAAAAACATCCAGAAACCCTAACCAACTAAGTTATGTTCACCAACTTAGCTATCGTAAGCTATGTCAACATATTTTTAAATAATCCACCAACTGAACCACACACAGGATTACTATTTGTAACTATGTGCCATCCCCCTGGAATATTATTTTCAATAATCCGATCGAGGGAGGTGATGGGCGGGTTCACCTATGGCCATTCCAGCCAAGTCTTGTTCCCAACATCAACGAGTGTGGAAGAGAAGCGTAGATCTTCTTGAGTCTGCACTTAGCCTATCGGTTGCTGGATGACAAAATTGGGCACGATTTCTACATGTCTGCCGGAGACGGGCTGGAGGCGGAGGTGGTCGTGGCCGCAGTGGGCAGTAGACTTCGTGGCCATCGCGCCCCAGGCGCACCGCCAGCGCCACCAGCAGGCCGAGCCCGAGGCGCAGCCGTGTGTGGAACTGGAATATGCTGAGAAGTCCCACGCCGCGGTGGCTGATGATGCCAAGGATGTTGCAAAGATGACCGACTTCGAGCACATCTGGGATTACATCTCCTTTGTGAATCACAAGCTCCAAAGCAAACTCCCAGTCCAAAGCGCCCGCATCGTCTCCAGGTCGCTCATCCAGCGAAGACCTTCCTGTGATGCCTCCTGCTCCGCGCTGTGGCACTAAGCCCTCTGGTCGTCGCCGTGGCACCTTTCGCTACCCTGCTCGCTGCCTACGCACCAAGACTTCGCAACCAGACTTGGAGGAGCTCGCTGCTGATGCTGACGCAGCTCTAGAAAATCTTGATGCCGGCTCTAAGCTTAGCATGGACTTTGCTGCAGACGAAGAGGCTGCACGGTCCATGGGCTTTGAGGCTTAAGTGACTAGATGTTGGTATTGCTGAAGAGATTACCTTGTTCATGAACTCTCAGCACCTGTATAATAGATGACTTGATCAGCAAGCTTTGATCCTTATCTCAACACATTGCTTGGGGACGTGTGTTTGTATAGCGGTAGCAGCTTTGAACTTCTCACGTGGTGGCAGAAAAGGTGTGCATGGTCTACTTGCCTGTCGTGCTGCGTCTGTTTTCAAAGCATGTGCAAACATTTGCAAACAAGTTCCTTATGTCATTGCTTGCTCCTTGATCATTGAAGCCCTACAAATTCCATTATTTGTCCATTCGTCTTTCTGTATGGTGCTAAGTACACAATGCATTCATGTTGAGTATTTTGGCTTTCTTGGCACTAGTTCCATCGCTCTCTTCTGCTACCATGGCACCGCGCAGGGCCATTCGCAAGGCGCCTTCGTCGAAGTCACGTGCATCTGGAACCAAGCCATCCAAGTTCAAACCATTTCCTCCGCCAAAGAAGGGGGTCCAGCGTATGATCCACAAAAGGCCAGCTGGAGAAAAGGATACCGACTGGGTGAAGACACCTTATGTACAGAAGAAGTTCGCTGCCGCCACCTGCCGCAGAGATCGAAAGCATTGGAAACGCAGTGTGCAACAGCTTCTTGCTGCAGATGACAAGGGCATCATCCACATCCTCATTGAAGATGGCTTCTTACCCAACATGGAAGGGAAGACATGCCCTATGTCCAACAAAGGTGTCCTGGGCAAATCGCAGCTTCGAGCTAGTGGCCTTCCCCGGCATCGTTGCAATCGCAAATATTGCAACCGCTTCGTCACACCGCAACATCTGCATCCACTTTTCACTGCTACCAGAGGTCCAGAAGGTCATTCGCTACAAGTGCAATCCGTGGCTTTGCTGATGCTGCTCTCCAATGTGCCTCTGAGTACAGTCCACATCTTGACTCCGATCAACTACAAAGCCTTGGAGCGTATATTGGCGCAGCTTGGTCTTCCTTCGTAAAAACTTGGTGGAGAAGAAGGAGAAGGAAATTCACTTTGGCAGAAAAGGCTGTTGGCAGGACGTTGAGGCTGATGAGGCTACGTTCGACAAGCTCATGAATGACTCTCTTGTGCACTGGGAGCAGTGGGCTGGGCTCGTCGCACGTGGTCGTCCAGAATCATTGGTCTTGGTTCGATTGAAGCCCCCTCGGACCACCACTCGTGCGCCCGGGCCAGGCGCGATCCGCAAGGTGGATTGGAAACCACTTGCAGATCGATTGCTCAAAGATCGCCAATGATTCTCCATACTGACAGTGCACGTTCGTATAAAGCCAAAGTGCGCGGTGTCCTGCGCGACAGTGTTGTTCACCAAAAGAAGCGCGTGAAAGTGAGAGGCAAATTCGTGTGGAAATCACCTAATTTTGTGAAGCTGGTGACCCACAAACTGCCATGTGGCAAAAAGCTGCGTGTGAAGGCAGGCACACAGATCATTGATCGAACTTGGAGGTTCATCAAGGATCGCTTGCGTTTGAACCAATTCACGAAAGTGGGCAGCTCCCTTCTTCGTGCCCAGATCCGGTCTGCACAGTATGAGTAGTGGCATCGCAACCGAGACTTGTGGGCCTGCACCGGAGAGCCTCTGTCTGCTTACATGCAAGATATTCTTGTCTAGCTGCCGGTATCTGCTGCAATGCACTCTGGGGAAAATTGTTCTGCTTACAGATCATCAACTAAACAAAAACAAAACATATCCAATGCTCACATAAAAACAAAACATGTCCAATGCTCACACAAACAAAACATGTCTAATGTTCACATAAACAAAACATGCCCGAATGCGGCTGACACGGGCCCATAGTGCATCTTGCAAGCATCCAAAGCACACATTGGTCGATCTTTGGGGGGGATAGCATATACATACATTTATAATCATATATATATGTATATATAGAGTAAATATGTATGTATATAGATACACATATCTATATTTACATTTCAATTTGTACGTAAACACATAGACATGATTATTTGCGCATATAGACATTTATATATATATATATTATGTTCTATATCTATGCCTATACCTATGACTATATATAAAAAATGTGTTTTGCTTAATGAATGATTTTCCGTAGGAAACTTTTGGGGCATCTCTAGTTTCAGACTTACGTATTGTACATATGAAGGTGTGGGGCAGTATCAAGGACATTTTAATCTCAGACTATTTCTATCAGTTCATTCTCAATCACAATCTCTGTCAATATTTCAATCTCGATGGCCATTTCCATCATTTTAATTGCAATCGTTCTTTCTATCACAAAAGGAAGCTTGCCGAAGAGCTACCTTGAGTTTTACTTTGCGAAACTTTGCTCAGGTGTCAATGCCCCCAAAAAAGTGGGAGACAAAGTACTTGCCTCCATACTTTCAGCGAAACGAAAGAGACTATGAAGGCCGGCTGAGCGTGATTCCTGGCAGAAGAAGGTGGATGCCAAGGACCAGAAGACGAAGGTCCAGGTGGCTGATGATGCCTGGGCGGTGGATGCAGTGGTCCAGCCAGGGAGTTTCCTCCCCAATCCAAGGCTGTTGGTGGAGCCGGCACTGATCATCGGTCCAAAACTGACCTTTGCATGAGAATCGATGCGTCAGAGAGGCTAGGAAGGCGTGGGTATGGCAATTGATAGATGACTATTTCGACCAGAAACTCAATCATTCACGTAGGTCCAACCTTGTACATGTACTGACCCCTTGCAATTATGAGTCGATGGGCGTGGGTTTGTGGCAATGGGTATGGCAACAAGTAGAATCCAATCCTAAAACCGTTGTAAAATATTGACATACTGACATACTGACATACCATTGAATATAGTGATATTATTTACTAAAAAGTGAAGCAACCCGAATGTGATATGTTTTTCAGATTTGAACCAATTTCAACCTGTTCTATTTGTTTGGGGTGCCTCAAAGATGGAAGGGACTACTTTCCAAGGACCTGGCCTGTCTCCAGAAAATGAGAAAGGACACAGAAATTCATAATTCACCCACAAAAAATGCACATGTTGGAAATAACTATCAGCAAGTAATTCTTGGATTTATTGATGTTACGATAACCTTTTGGGTTTGCATGATTTTTTGGTGTTAAGATATGTTCTTGGGTTTTCAGTACCCTTCTGACGAGATTTCCATTCCTGAAGAATCTTTCAAGTTCCAGGTCAAACTGCGCTCTGTCAAGTATGGCAGTTCCTTTTTTTGAAATGATTTGAAATGCAGATGATCTGTTCTGAAACCAACTGGATGGATCTGGATGGGTGGTTTCATACTGACAACCTTTTGCCATAAATGGGGATATACTAACATTTTAAACCTAACTATCTAGTTTCAAAACAAATGCAAGGTACCCAAGATGTAGCTAAGATTGGTCAAGAACTGTCACAATATCAAGGGGGATACAGTAACTTAAAACCATCCAAAATTCACACACTCAATATTTTTTGTCTGAAAGCAGGGGCACCCCAACACCCAAGCATACCCAATCAGTTATCATCCTGTTCCCGATAAAAAACAATGAAACCATTTCTGGTTTTATGTTCCATTTTCAGGGCACCTATAGAAATCACCCATTTCATCCGTTTCAATCATTTGATTGTTAGTCAGATATCCTATGGCATCCCATGATATTCCCATGGCATTCCCATGATATGCCCATCTTTGTCAGCCAACGAGCAGCGGGCCAGCGGGCAGGAGTTCGCCTCAGAAGAGATGAAAGCTGAAAGGTCCAGCATCTGAAGGAGTTGCATTCCCTTCAGTGGGAAATCAATCATCATCGAATAGGTATATCAATATAACAGTGAAAATATAGGTGTAAATCCCGTTGAGTAAGTGGGAAATACAGCTTATGATAATGATAAACAGGATGTACATTATTACATGCATGCATGCATGCATGCATGCAAAAATACATACAGATACATACAGATACATACAGATACATACAGTTACATGCAGATACATACAGTTACATACAGATACATACAGTTTCAGACAGTTACAGACAGTTACAGACAGTTACAGACAGTTTCAGACATTTACAAACAGTTACAGACAGTTGCAGACAGTTACATACAGTTACAGACAGTTACATACAGTTACATACAGTTACAGACAGTTGCAGACAGTTACAGACAGTTACATACAGTTACATACAGTTACATACAGTTACATATGTACGTCCGTGCATGCATGCATACATACATACATACACACATGCATACATGCATACATGCATACATGCACACATGCATACATACATGCACACATGCACAAATGCACACATGCAGACATGCATACATGCATACATACATACAGACATACAGACGTACAGATGTACAGACGTACAGACGTACAGATGTACAGACGTACAGACGTACAGACGTACAGACGTACAGACGTACATGCGTACATACGTACATATGTATGTTTTTTTGAATGTATGTATATCACAATTGGATGAATGGATCCCACTTGTACACGATATATATATATATATATGTATATATATATACATATATAATTAAATATATAATGTGTGTGTGTCACATATCGCTTGCAGACCACTTACTGAGATGCAGATACAAGTGAAGTGTGTTGGCAAAGGCGGAACCACACATTGTGAAACAAAGTGTTCCCCAAGTTTTGCCGTAGTATATACCGTATACCTTAATATGCCGCATGTGTTTTGTGGCTCACATCCCCAAATTACTATTCGCAAAATCAGAGCAACGTTCTCCATCTATGCAGGTAAAACGTCAATTTACAGTTTTACAGATAAAGATATCATTGTTCCAGGTAACATGTTCTTGCTTCCAAATAAACAAAACCATGGTTAAACAGGCTGTTGTAGGTAAGATTTTGTTTTACACGTAAACTCTTAATTGCTGTAGGTACACACCTCAAAATGGGAACAGGTCAGTGTTTGCTATGCAAAATCGCTGTCGGTACTGTAAATCATCGAACTATTTATGGGCCATGATTTTCATGTTTAAACTACTGGTAGAGTAACATACCATCATACCCCATTGCTGTTGTCCCCATTATATCTAAATATGTCCATTATATATATATATATATAGAGGACACATCGACATTAGTTTCACCTATCTTATTACATGCAGTTAGTACATCTATATATTGTATATAGTTCCAGCCATTATCCAAATTAGATGCACTAAATATCCCATTACCCTCTGGTAAACTAACGTAGCTATGGAACATCCCAATATTTGATAAGTAAATCAGCGAACAAAATGGCCATGTTCAATTCAATAGCAAACTGTAACAAATTCCCAGAGGGTATATCCCATTCATATCCCATTAAATCAGATTAAATCACTATAAAATCCTATTGTTTTTATATGTCATCATATAGTTATATACACCATATTACACTTATGATCCAAATTGAATTAGATGCATTAGATGCATTAAATATCACATTATTTATATTTTTTTATCCACCGGTTTCACCGTTTCGCCAACGGCCGCGGCCCAGCAGCCCAGGTCCAAGCTCCGGCTGGCGGCGAGCAGCCAGCAGCTGGCCATCAACGAGGCCGTGCTCAGCGCCGCCAGCGTCAGCGCGCAGGCGGAGGCCTTGCGTAGCGAGGCGCCCGGGGAAAGAGTTCGAAAAATCTTGGCGCGGGGTAAACAATGTGTTTATTCAAATGTATATAAATGTGTATATATATATATGTATCTGTGAATGTCTATTTGTGTATTGATATATGTTTTTAATATACACATATATATATATATACATATTGAAGAAAGATAGATAGACATATATTTAGTTGTGTATCTATGAAACCACTGGTCTATATACTTCTTACGATCTATCACAATTTCTTTCATGTCGGTTTTATCCCCATTGTGTCCCTGTGATATCCCCGCTGATATGGAAATTTCAACTTAAACAAATCTCTAGAATGGAAATACGTTTGAAAATCCCATGTTCTATCTACTCCAGGATGGTTATATAAATGTGTAGGGAGAGAGCGAGAGAAATATATATATATGTGAATACACATATGTATATATATATATATGTACACCTGTCTATATATCTACATAGAAGTCTACACTAGACACACAAAAAGTTAATGTTTATATAGTAAAAGAAACATATATATATATATACAAGTACATATCAAATGATTGTCATGTTGATTTATAAATGACACTACATAATACATGGGTTTGACTTGCCATAGGGTACCACAAAATGCACTGGCTCCACGGCTGATGCTGACAAGTGCATAAGCAGAACTGATGGGTGACCTTGAGAGGGAAGGGGAAAATGTGGAACATCCCGGAATTTACGTTGATCCTTGAAATATTCCTGAAGTGAGAATAAATTGTTCCTAGCAGGTGTCCAAAAGCTTCCAAAGAAAATGACTAGGATATATCAGAGGAGTCCTGGGCAAATGTCCAGGTTCCAATTAGGCGGAACATGCCCCAGGGACATACGCCTAATGATCTACATATACACAAGTATATCGGTTGCATGTGTATATACATATATATATATGTATATGTATGTAGTGTTATAATCATATACAGTACATATCTTGCTGTAAAACATGTGTTATGCACTTGATGAACTGCAACTTCTGCCAGGGTGCCCTGAGATGTCCCGGCATGAAGGGTAGGATGGCCAAATTAGGCTCAAAAAGGCATTGTGAATTAGCAGGAGGCTTGACCCTTCTCAAGGTCGTATAAGATATGTACGAATACCCTCTGGTAATGAGTAGCAGTTTGCGACATGGAACATCATCGTTTTGAACAAATAAATCATGAAACTAAATTGGATTGAATGTGCCATGGCTGCCAGTTCGCAGAGTGTAACAAGTGACCAGAGGGTAATATCCACTTATACATATCCCGTTGATAGATTTTCCCATTCTATGCTAATTCCCATGACTATCTCCATGTTTGATGCTTAACCCCCCATGAAATTGCCATGAAATCACCATTACACTTCACCACAGCTACCACCATTACCCTCGCAGGTGCAAAAACTTCAGCAAGAACTGGACCAGGCTTTGGGATGCCTGGGATGATGGGAATGGAATGGTGAGAATGGTGGGAATGGCCCCAGCCGAAGTTGGTTGATGAATTGCTATGAATTGCTATGGTGTGCAAGTCGTATTTAAGTTGATCAGTTGATCAGTTGGAGATTGTGGGAGTTATTCCATTGCAAATTTGCTGGCTATCCGAGAAGCCAGGGATGCAGGATGCTGAGTTCTGGGTAAGGATCATGAGTCCTGCCAGTTATATATATATATATATGTATATATATATATATATACAATTATATATACATAATTGTCTGTATGGTTATTCCCGGATAGATGGAAAAGTAAAGCCCTGGTAATTTAATGATGATTTACTCCATCTCAAAACGGGACATCCCCATGCATCTCCCATTGGTCCCATTGGTCCGGTCCGGTCCCGTAATGCCCTGGAAAGTCCAAGCATGTTTCCAGTTTGGTGTGGCTTGCCTGTATTCATTTATGAGAATTTATATGTGGTGGTTTCCAAAGATGCAACAATCTGAGACTCTACAAGGTGGCCCCCACAGTTAAAAGTTGGTTTTTAAATACCATTGCCATTGACTATAGTTATATCCCCCATAGACCCTAGTTAGTAGACACCACCTTAAAAGTAAGCTGGTTGATAGGAATTCTGATTGTGATACTCCCCAATATATCAATGGCCATTCCAGGATCCTAAACTGGAGGTACCTACCATATATAAGGCCTATATAAGGCCTATGTAAGGGAATATCCCCACAAAATATGGCCTTATATGGTACAGTACCTCCATTTTAGGATCCTGAAATGCCCATTGATTATACTGAATAGTTTAAACCCATATAGATCCCGTATATGAATAGTATAAACCCATATAGCAATCAACCAACAGCGGTTTTGAACAATGCGAAGTATTTCAGTCAGCCGGTCCAACGGCCCCCTTGTCCAGGCAAGGGAGCAGCTGAGCGATGAGCGACGTCGTGGGGAAGAGGTTTCCCGGATGCACAACCTCAAAAGATGTTTGTATGGTTGGTGGATGAGTGATAGTACGTACTAATATTGATCCTGGGGGTTGTTATGGCCATGATTTGGATTATCCATCTTGTTATTAACACTATGAATCCCCCTTATTGTTATTAGTAACTGATTGTAATAAAGGTTTAATCGGTTGAGCCGTTTTCCCATTGTTGTTTCTAGATTTACAGCCGCGTTCCTTCTGTGTTTTGGGGTCGCTTTGCTTTTCTATAACTTCTGAAAGCTAACATGGAGCTCAAGAATCAGAGCTTAACAGGCTTAACATCTTTAAAAAGAAACATGTTAACACACATTGTTTGGGTTTTTTTGGGGTTTCAATGAGAAGTTCAAGAGTGTGAGTTTTGTGGACCCCTGGAACCAAGGCCGCCAGAAAGCAGCAGAACTTGCAGGCCAGGGACGGTGAGCTATGGCGCTGGTGGCTGTCTTGAGTTGGACAGTTTTAAATGGCAGGATTTTTTTGGGTTAAAGAAACCCATTCTAAGTAGCAAAAGGCTCAGAAGTGGCAGGTAAACCAACCCTTTGAAGCCACCCATACTGAGTATCCCTTAGAAGCGCAACGCGCTGCCAGAACCTCTTGGCTTCGCAAAGACAGATGCAGCGGCAAAAGGAGGCCCCCTTCCCAGTGGCGTCTCAGTGTGAGTTTCATGTTGAGATTTTCGAAATACATATGGGGGTGGGTCAAAACCTATTATTATCAATTCTAATGGGATGAACATCCATTTACCAGCTATTTTGGGGTTCACTAAGTGCCAGGGTTTTGACCAATAGCCATATATGATCATAATATGCATGTCATACAAATACAAAGTGGCGTGGCATACTGTGATTCTAGGCAGAAATAAACAGCCAAAAGTTGGCCTCCATTTTTTTTTGGTTGACGATATAAGACGAGCAACATTTGCCCAAAAACAGGCAATGTCCGTAAACAATCATGTGTGTACACTGCCGTTGTTTGGACGCTTTCCACAAGAATGCCAGATAGCGTTCTGAGGTCACTTTCATTTTCTTCCGAGGAGAATCAGGATTGAACTTGCAGAGGGTCATAACTCATCAACAAAGAACCCAGCAACAATAGTGATCATTGTCGTCATCATCGTCGTCATCATCATCATCGTCGATCTTACTAGCACAAACAATCAACAACTGTTATGAGAATTGCTCGTAATGATACACTAATCATATGATAATCATATGATGTTTTTTTAGTATATATTTACAATGACATTCGCTATACTGGTATCTTCGATCCCAATTAACAATGGTCATTGGTCACAGTCAATCAAGAATCATTGGCATCTAGCATCCCTAATCCGGATCAAAATATTGGTTGTCAAACCATTGATATTTTCTGATTCCAATCAAATGATACCAACGATTGCTGTTTTGTTCAACCAACCAACATGAGATACCCATGATTTCCCCATTATATCCTAATTCCATTCCCATAACATTCCCAGTAGATGTCCATTTTATCGCCAATATATTTCCAATATATTCCCAATCATAGATATCCTTTTCCCACTGTCTGGTTGATTAATAGAGGGGTCCCATTCAAACAACCAAAGAGTGAGAATAAATGATATGCCAAAGCGAATCCTCTATTTTCCCTAGAAGCACCATGTTTTTCCCAATATCTCCTTTGTTTGCTCAGGCAGAGCGCGACCTCCTGCGCCAACGACAGGCAGCGCCGACGCCATCGGTGCCCTCGGCGTCCGACGAAAACACCGCGGCGTTGGAGCACACCTTGGAGCGAACGGGGGATTCACATGGTTTCACCCTGAAAAGTTGAACATCAATGAACATATGTATATATATACATAGAGAATATGTGTATATATATATATGTAATATATATATGTATATATATATATATGTATATATATATAAAATATAGATAGATAGATAGATAGATAGATAGATAGATAGATAGATAGATAGATAGGATAGAGAGGATAGATAGATAGATAGATAGATAGATAGATAGATAGATAGATAGATAGATAGATAGACAGACAGACAGATAGATAGATAGATAGACAGATAGATAGATAGATAGATAGATCGATAGATCGATCGATAGATAGATATATTTAATTATATATATATATATGGATTACATGAAAATAGGCTGTTTTTCCTTAAATTTGATCATCTTAATTCGAGAGTTATTTCTTTGATTCCATGGATAGTCATTTGTTTTTTCCGATAAAACATGCCAAACAAAAGCACGAACAATCAAGGGCACACAAGACAGGACAGGAGCATGCGAAATCAGAAAACAACAAAAATGTGAAGAACTGCACAAACAAAGTGGTGTACTTTGCATTTTTCGCGGATATCACCATAGGAAAACGAGGTAAATGGGTACCTTTGATGATTGTTTGATGTTTCTTTCAACGGTTTAGGAAGTGATGAATCAACCAGTGTCTGGACTCCTTGCATTTTCCCAGTATCGGCAAGGTTGTTTCACATCGCCGGTCCCAAGGTGATAAAATCATTGGCTGGGAGTACTGAAGCAAATGAATGCTTCGGAATTGGGTTTGTAGTCCCTTCAAAACTCGGATGTATTGGAGTCTACCCTTGCTAGGAATTCTTGGGAATGCACCCTGAATCGCGTTGTTTTCTTTTGATCGTCAGCCGTTTTAGCAAGTCGTCCACATGTTGGCTTTGATACCCAGTGATCCCCCATGGTTTCTGGAGCCTGGGAGCTTGATGGGTTACAGTACGGATGCTCTAAACGAAGGTGCATATGTATCATATGTCATCCAGCTGAACAATTGTTGTAACATGTTGTACTGTAACTGTTGTGTTCGGGCGAAGATCTACTGCTAAGTCAAATGATCTCCGACCGCCTCGGTAGCCTTTTTAGTCTCGCCGTTTCAGGAGGACTTGGCACAGCTGGAAAGCGCCATGGTTCAAGAGACCCAGCAGCTTGCAGAAGAGGCTGAACGGAGCTGGCGATGTTTTTTTTGAAGTGGGACACACTTTGAAATATTTGGGGGTATACAGAAAATTAGATAAAATTATATAATAGAAAGTAAAGAGTGAAATCCTAAGTTTGGGGTTGAACATGGATCCAGTTATGGTTGGCAGCAAAAACTGGTTTATTTAGCAATAACATATAAATGTTTGCAATCTGACCAACAAAAATTTCACCAGTTTGGTGGGGGTCTTGATGATTCCCCAAATTTTTGTTGTTCAATATTAATCGAAATGGTGATGAAATGTGACATGCTGATGAAGCTTCGTGTTTGGTATTGTTTATCCAGGAAATATGTAAAACAAATAATTAGCTGCCCATGTGTTGGAGGAGCTATCTGAGCGACTGTGAGCCCAGTACCAAATCGCCCATAGTGGGAAACTGGTTCATGTCTGTATTGGGAAAAGGAATACATGAGGCATGTGTTCCATTGTTTGAACACTTTTGACCACATCTCATGATTCCATGTCATCTGTGTATTGTATATTTATTTAGATTCACTGGAACATCGGTCACTCTTGTAAACATTCTCTGGAACAATAGTGGTATGGGCTGGATACCTTTAAATATGGGAAGCGTTTGAGTCTGAGTATAAAGTTTACCAAAATACTTTGAGCCGTACTTAGTCCATCTTAGTCCTTGCATTTTGATCTGTTCCTGTTTGGGTATGGGCCAAGATGATCACAATGACCCACAAATGGTGATCATGACCAAAAATGAATGGTTCAATACCCCTAGGGTGTGTTCTTTTCTTTGCGCCCAGGGTGTGTGGATGTCGGGGTGGACATGTCCATAGAGTCTAAGTTACCCTAGAACTATTAATCTCACCAATCTGGGTGGTCCCTTTACCCCAATTTGGAGGTGTCCTAAACTGGGGGTACACCCAAATCATCCATTGTAATAGGATAAAACAGGATGTTCCATGAAATAAACATAAATAAAGCATCCAGCATCATCCAGCTGGGGTACCATCTTATTTAGCCTCCATTTGAAGCCACCACCCTACTGACCACTGACCATGACAGGCTGCGCGACTTCGAGAGCTTCACAGGTTAGGTCGATGGGTCAAGGGTCAACTGGATGGTTTAAATCAAGCCTCTAGCGGCTATAAATGGAAAATAACCATAAACATCCATAAATATAAACTATATAAACTATAAACTGCAACTCTATTTTTTTTGCGGACCAATAAAAATGATTATGCATGTTAATCCCCACCCGTCAGATGGGTTTCATCATGTTTAATAAAGTTTATAATCATTTTTGTTTGACCAGAAATGGGTTGTATACCTACCAGTTGTGAAATTTTAATTGGGAACATTAGGTTCCAACCCATTCTTTGTTTAAAGGGGTATCCTATTTTAGATAGATCAACATGTATTTAATGTTGGCTTTCCCACTGTTGAACTGGATGCACATTGACTATAGTGGCTACAGATCCATGCAACTGTGGGAAATCTTAGACATATTTGGTCAACGGTCCTTAAAAATTAATAAGAAACTAAAGATTTAAATTCTGGGGCGAAACATGGACCCATAAGTTTCAGAAAGTTGCATCTGACAGCCAGCTACGGTATCTAAATTGATATACATGTTGTATAATATATATATATATAATTATATATATACATGCATGGATATATGTAGTTGGTTGGCGGCGGATAGAACGCCGCCTGCTTTTGTGCGTTTTTCTGTTTCTCTGCTTTTTGCACGCGTTCTTGCTGTTTCGATGGGGTGGGGTTAACGTCCTGTTCCGAGTGCGTGGAACATGCTCCTTTCTAAGACGCTCTTGATGTTACGCTGTGCACGTTGCCCTGGGGTGGGGTGGGGTGGGGTATTAACGTTCTGTTCCGAGTGCGTGGAACATGCTCCTTTCTAAGACGCTCTTGATGTTACGCTGTGCACGTTTCCCTGGGGTGGGGTGGGGTGGGGTAGGGTATTAACGTCCTGTTCCGAGTGCGTGGAACATGCTCATTCCTAACACGCTCTTGATGTTACGCTCTGCACTTTTCCTTAGGAACTTCTGACACGCTCTTGATGTTGAGCTCTGCACTTTTCTCTAGGAACTTCTGACACGCTCTTGATGTTACGCTCTGCACTTTTCCTTAGGAACTTCTGACACGCTCTTGATGTTACGATCTGCACTTTTCTCTAGGAACTATTGACACGCTCTTGATGTTGTGCTCTGCACTTTTCCTTAGCAACTTCTGACACGCTCTTGATGTTACGCTCTGCACTTTTCCTTAGGAACTTCTGACACGCTCTTGATGTTACGCTCTGCACTTTTCCTTAGGAACTTCTGACACGCTCTTGATGTTGCGCTCTGCACTTTTCTCTAGGAACTTCTGACACGCTCTTGATGTTACGCTCTGCACTTTTCCTTAGGAACTTCTGACACGCTCTTGATGTTACGATCTGCACTTTTCTCTAGGAACTATTGACACGCTCTTGATGTTGTGCTCTGCACTTTTCCTTAGGAACTTCTGACACGCTCTTGATGTTACGCTCTGCACTTTTCCTTCGGAACTTCTGACACGCTGTAGCGCCAGTCCTATCGAAGTGTATCAAAATTTAACTCACGTCCTGCCAAGCTTGTGATAAAAAGAAATGAACACTTACACATAACACATTGCAAGAACGAAGTAGTTTTTCGCAGGATTTGAAAGGGTCCAAAAAATGGACGAAAGCAAAAAACCCTGAGAAAACACAGGGAAAGTGAACTCGCAACGGTTGGAAAAACAGGCGGCGTTCTATCCTCCGCTTTCCATGTAGTTACCTACAAGATAAATGGGGGTGACGTTTGTGTTAAACTTAGATAGAATCAGAGAATACATGGATGATCTGAGATGTTGTTTGTTTGGAGTTGATGACCACCTCAAACAATTATCGGAGTGCTCAAAGGACAAGCTTCCGGATTTTGGTCATTTGTTCACGCATGCAAGATCTTGCAATATTTTCTCCAAGGTAGTCAGAAGATCCATAACCAAAAGTCATCAGAAATCGCAGGTTCTGTACATCTCCATCATCTCCACCTATCATCTCCGCAAATTGGATGAAGGGAACTGCAGGAACCCCTTTTCTTTTACACAGCACTGGTCTGGGCTTGCTGCCAGGTTAGCCTTGGTTGACCGGACCGCATCGACCCCGCAAAAAATCGAGTCCTGAGTGATGTGTTAAGGGCTATCATCAAGCCAAGGAGTTCATTTTGGATGACGGAAAATGGGGAAGCCAAGATTAGATAATGAGCTATATTGATTATAATGGACGTATCGGAATAGAATGGGATGGTTATTGTGTATAGTGTTTTACACGTTTTTTTTACTCTGCAGTAAATTAACAAATTGATATGGAAAACCCACAGTTTGCCATGTGTAGATGATTTAGCCTGGGGCTTCACCCATGGGTTTTCCACACTGTTTTATAATTTACTGGAGGGATAATTAGATACCCTCCAATGATCGAAAATAGCAATTGGAAATCACCATAATATATATATATAGACATACATATATATATATATATATATACATACATACATATATATATATATACATACATACATATATATATATAGACTATATAGATGATTTTCCCATTCAAACCTTGATGTCTGGAGGATTTTCCGTTGCCACGTTTGATTAGTGGGGGGTAGTGGCAACTGACCTCTTTTCTGGGCATGACTGGTACAACGACCAGCAATCCCATTCCGACATATTCCGACCAACTAGTGTGCAAAAACCCAAGAATGTTTTCTTTCCAAAACTGGATCCATATGATCATATGTGGGGAAAATGTTTATTACTCTCCAGTAAACCAAGATACTTGTAACTATGGAAAACATTTACAGAAGATTTACCTATTGAAGGTGGTGATGCTCTGTGGCTATGTTTAGTAGTTGGTAAATCTTTGGGGAATACTGACTACTTAAAGTTACTGGAAACTCAGAGTTTTAATCCTGGGTCTGGGTTTGAACATGGACCCAGAAAAGTAATGGCCTGTGAAGTTCTGGGCTGAAACCCTGCGGTTGCTACTTATGCTCATGCGATTGCATGACTGGAACTCCACCAGGAAAGCATTTTGCTTCATGGATAAAAGATTGCTCAGTAGACTTTTGCTTCATTGATGATCAGCTGTTGTTGTTGCTGTTGCCCAAAGATTCTAACTGTGTCTACAGTATTGTCTTTGGTTGTTTGTCACACTCATCCATGCAGCAGAGTTTGAGGTTGCTCCCTTCTTTTTGCCCTGGCTCAGCGGCGAAGCGGTTTGTCCGGTACAGATACCGGTGCTGGTTTCCAATTGGAGCTATCTACTGAGATATAGGTAGGTTGGGATACCCGGACAAATTAACGGTTGCCAAGCTCTTGTTGGTTGATGATGATTACATTCAGATTGTGACCAACTATGTCCTGATACCGAGATATTTCCAGTAGGCCTGTGATGTGACAGCAAAGGCTGAACTAAAGGAGGAAAGCCATGTCCGCTACTGCATTCAAGCTTCAAGCAGATTGATTTATATCATGATAGTCATAGAAATCATACGTGTGTAGATAGGTGTATATAAATCCCGTATATATACATATGTATATATATATAATTATATATATATTGTATGAATATACATACATACACGTTACATATATATATATATACATATGTGTGTTCTCCTTCTTTGACGCAGACTGCACCGGTCAAGCTTTGCCATTCCACAATGCCGTTTCTTGCCAATCTTCAGCTGGCAACAGGAGAGGGATCGGGTATGGCAGCCTCTGGTGTCATCAAACGTGGCTGGCTGGGAATCAGCATATGAATAGAGGTTTAGTTCGCTGTGAGAATCAACGAACAAGTCGAGGGATTTTCCAGCCACGTTTGATGACCGAAGGTGTGTGTATTATTCTTGATCCTCTTTGGGATTATCATCCCAAGTGACGTTGGCATGCCACGTCCTCAGGAGTGCCAAAGATGCTATCATCCTTCGTGCAGCGCTCAGAGCTTTGGGCTTTGGACCCTCAAAATCAGTTTCACATAGTAAATCAATTGAGCCATGAAGAATACCCTGGTTGATTGGTTCATGTAGGGACTTATTGGGACTTATACTAGCTGATTTAATGGGGGTTATACAGTTATGATAATCCATAATAGGAAACGTAGACACACCAGTGAGTATTTCATGGGATGGAACCACCTTGAGCCCGGACTTTCAGTGATAGCTGAATCATAGCTACAAAAAGGGGGAATGTGCGTGAGTTGAACCCTCCTACATTGACCAACATGTCCCCTGAGTTTCCCTGGGGTGTTTGGAGCAACCACAAAAGCAACACATGTTGACGGGTCAGATCACTTGAAGGCTGGTGTCTTAACAGTTCCAGCCAAACGTATGGAAGTTGGTTGCAAAAAAAATGAGGTCATTGGGTGTTTCACTCCTTTGAAATCCTTTGAAATGATTTGTATTCCCGGTATTTTCCTGGGAAGTTATCAACCTCTAAACCTTGATCTTTGAAGTTGCCCTAAGAGTGAAAAGCCACGCATCCTCTCTGAAACTCCGAGGACCAGCACGGAGGCTTGTCCCGAAAATCATTGAGCAGTTCATGGCATGGTACAGAAATCCAACAGTTTTATTTGAGGTTTGGGTATAAATTTCAGAGTTTTTCGACATTTTAGCGTGAAGCAGTGCGAAGCAAGATTTTGAGATGTAGCAGAACCACAGATTGTTTTATTTTTGGATCTGTTCGGTCAAGTTTGGTCATTCCCAGGCTAGGCCACACATTTTCATTGGTGGTACCCAACGACTTGACCCACACGTGTTCTGGGGTGATGATCCCCGATGAACCAATTGTGAAAAGATGATATAGCTACCATCAACCAGATTTGATCAGAGGTAACCCTAAACTTCCAACGAATTATCCATGTTTCCCATAGAAATTGCCAGGACTTGCAATATATCCACCCCATTTTTGGGACGAAGCCATGTTGTGTTTTGAATGTGTGGCTCATTTTGCTGGACCTGTCGACGGAGGCCATGGTGACTACGGTTACGACTATGGCTACGACGACGGCGGCTACGGCGGCTACGGCTACGAGGATTATGGCGGCTACGGATATGGAGGCCAGTCCTGTGTGCTTTTACGTGTGCTTTTTTAAGGGTGCTCCAAAATGTAAAATCTGTAAAGCCTCTTCATTGAGCTAGAGAGAGATCCAAGGGAAGGCCTTGGTGTCAACAATATTGCTTGTTTCCCCATGTTCTGCATCAAGTTGTACGTACGTGTACATACCCCAAGACCGGCTGCAGTTGCTTGGCAAAGATCATTTGGAACTTTGGTGTTGTTTCATCTTTGTTTTGCCTATTGGAAGTGTTATGCCATCCCAGCTATAAAGATACAAGGAAGGAAAGCGTCTGCACACATGCTGGTTGGAATGAAGGACGTTACAGTACCCCAACTAAAACAAGAGGAATGGCCGTAAGAACATTTTGAAAGCACATCAATTGAGTGAGTACTGCAATCATCGCGGTGCCATGCAGGAAAGCCCTTTAGGCATGACTTCGGCGTGACTTTTTAAAACAGCGGTGCCGTGCGGAGAAGCACCGTAGGCATGACTTAGGCATGACTTTCTCTTTTGCCTGTAGCACTTGATCCCAGTTTCCTTTTGGAAAGGGGGCTCCAAGCAGGTGGTTTTCATGTGCTTCAGTTTCAGGTGGCGACTATGGCTATGACGATGGCTATGGCTATGACGATGGTTACGGCTATGACGATGGCTACGGAGGATATGGAGGCCTGATGCCCGAAATGGCTTGCGCTGTCCTCTTGCGATTGATTGGTTGGGAATACAGGAGGGCAGCCTCACAAACACCCATGTAGTCACCAATTTTCAATGCGTGAACATGCGTGATCAACCCTTGGTCCACTCTCCAGTCTCTGGGCTTGCGATTTCTTTGCCTAGCCTAGGCTCATTATTTTGGGTCGCAACATGGGTTTTGTTTAGAGAAACTAATTGATGTTTTTCAGTGTTCCCCATTCTTGACTTGGGTTGAAGCAGTTACTCCAGTTGACCAAGAATATGTTGGGATGGGGGCGGCTCAACCGCGCTGTCAGCATGATATCCCTACCAATTGTTCATTGCATCCCTAAGTTGGCATACATGGATGCGGGTCAATACTTCATAGCGGCATACATGGATGCGGGTCAATACTTCATAGCAACCAACCCAACATGGGCAGATACAATTACAATCAATGACAATCAAAGACATATATAATATATTTATACTTAGATAGAATTACAGATAGATCGATAGATAGATAAATAGATAGATGAACGTCCCAAAAACCGTCAAGACTGAATTATCTTCATTACCCACGGTACTAGGGCTTCGACCACTGTATCATTCAAGATGCATGTTGTTTCTTCCGAGTTAATTGTCTATTCCCGCTACTGAAATCCCCGTAGTTGGCAGCCAACTTCTTACTTAAGTCATCATGTTGGTCACTTCTCCCCACTCAAGCTGTTTATCCAGTTGCCTTTGTTTATTTAACATAGCTATGGAAAATGAACCATCGATGGATAATTTACCTATTGGAAATCGTGATGTTCATTGATTTTTCCATAGCTTTGTTTAAACAAAACGGAGGGTATCTTCCTCGTTTTGATCCCAAAATTGGACCATGAACCCCCCAGCGAGGCCCTCCCGAAGCTGCTCCAGGAGCTACTTCCTTCATCAAAATGGGTTTGGGAAAATATGTGTTTTTTGTTTGCACTGTTGAAAACACACAAAAATACCATACAAATCCATAAAATACCTCTGGATTTAAATTCATTTTTGTTGATCTTTGGGAAACATGGGAAAAGCGGGTGGCAAACTATGTTATGATTATGTGTATGACTCCACTTGGAAATTGGAAGATGAAATAGGTGTCGGTCAAAAGCCACGGTTTTCTCATATTGATGGGGGCACATCAAGCTTTATCAGCTATGTTGATCTGAAGCCAAGGTACCAGGGTTTGATCTACGGCCACATGAAGATACTGAAAAAAAGGCTTGGAAAGACCTGTCTTCTACTGGAGATTTCATCTCAATGTTCACATTGTACCTTCCTGAAATCTGATAGCTTCGCAGTTGATAGACCTGTATGTTTTGTTATTCATTCTCATTGATTTGTCATTGTTATGATTAAGTATGCTTATTTCAACAGTCTGGGAACGGATAAACAATAATGTTTCTTTTAATATTATTCCAGAAAATCGTCAAGAAGAACGACCTGTTCTACGGCGGAAGTTTTGGCCAGCCAGAAGGATTCACTATGTCGTGTCAGCTGCACTCCCCAGCTCCCGAACTCGGACCAGGAGCAGAAGAAGGTTATGCAGTGGGCCTTGAGCTGAGTGTTACCCCTTTGGGTATGCTTCCTCTCCTGCAGCTGAACGTACGAAGGAAGCCTAAGCGGCCCGTATCTCTGACAGAATGAACTTTAGCTCACCAAGATACGCTAACTAGTTGTTTTCAATATCAAATGAGTGCGGAGCACATATCTTCTTGTCTCCCATATGTCACAGTTCATTGCTGCCAGATGGAAACAATATGAGTATGAGTCTTTACCATAATTCCCATGCTGAAAGCATACCCTCAGTTTTTTCCAAACGAGAAGTTCATTTGTGAGAGTCTTTCTGTGAAGGTCCCTAGGTTGGGCTATGCAATTTACCCTCCCGGTAATCAAACATGGCAATTGAAAATATTCTATAAGCGAAGGTTTTCTTGGGAAACTATCTATAGAGGTGATTTTCCATTGCCCTGTTTGATTTCCGGAGGGTAAGAAGCACCTCATTCCGAAGGATTCGGTTGATTCCGGCCCAGGCGAATATCCCGATGAAGAAAATCTGGGTGCCATGACAACACCAGCGGTTTCCGTCAAGACCAAAATGCAGGACAGTTGCGAGGGTTGCCGGAGGTGAGGGAGCGCAAAAGGAGTCAAATTGCCAGATTTTGCCATGTTTGTGGATGTTTCAGGTGCATGGAGCTGTTGAAAGTTCGACTTTGTATTGAAACATGCCCTCATCATTTGCATGTGGCTTGATTGGTAACGAAAAGCTGGTGGCTTTCCCGCAGATGTTCAAGCTTCCAGCAGTGAAGCGAAGCATAGATAGTATAGGTTCAGTTCGGGCGCCATGAGTTCTGCACCAGTTTTCCATGGCCCAGATACCAAGTCCCGCAGCTTTTTTGGGCGCTGCTGCCGCAGAAGTGGCGCGTCTTCTTTAAGGCTTCCGGAGACACCCCTGGTGCTTGCTGGGGCTCTAGGAGGACCCTTTGGCATTTTCATCTTCACACCTTTGCGCAATGCCCTGACCTTGGCGAGTCAAAACTCGGATGAAACAGCTTGGGAGCTGTACATGGATGTCTTTGCCGGAGGATTTGCTGCCGGATGGACGGGCGGCTTGGCATGTGTTCCCCCGAGCTGTCCTCAGTTTATGGTCATGGGGCCGCTCTTCCATTTCTTGAAGGAGATGTTGAATTCCGTACTGCTGGCGGTGATTCTCAGTGCTATGGCCGAGAGTTGCATCTCCTATGCATCCCAAACGTTGAATGCCCAGATGGCTTTCAATGCTGATCAGGAACTGGCAGGGTTGAATAACCAGGTTGAGCTGTGGAGCCCCTTCATGCCCGTGGGACCTGGGTCATCAATCCATGTGCTCCGAAACTTCGTGGCCTTGAGTGGGCTCCGGGTCTTTTCTGCTCCGTGTCAGGCTGGCCTCGCCAAAGCTGCGCAGTTCTGCGGCCTGCGCCTGCCGCAAGGGCCACAGCAGTTTTTCGGCGATTTCATCGCCTCCATGGGGGCAGCAATTCTCAGTGCGCCTTTGAATCAGCTCTACAACTTTGCGGTCACGTCCAACGGATTCATGGAAGCAGGCTTTCTAGAGAAGGTGGCCTTGTCTCGGGCATATCTAACTGAAACCTATCTTGTCTATGAGGGCGACAGCCTCGCAGGTATTTCGCCCACCCTTGGCCGTGATCTCTTCATGCGCTGCGCCTACATTGCCAACCTCTATGCTTTGTTCGGCCTCATTGAGCGCTTGGCGGTTGCAGTATGGCCCTATCTCAAGACTCTCAAGTCCAGGTCGGACCAGTGATTAGGAGGCTTCGACTTGACGAACGGGAAAAAGACTTGACATTTCTATCCCCACCTGAGATCATTCTGAAAATATTCCCGAATAGACTAATGGCCTGTGGATGGATGCTCAACCACCGAGCAGTTTAACTTGATGTCCATGTGCGTTGCTATGCGTTGCTATGCGTTGCTATGCGTTGCTATGCGTTGCTATGCGTTGCTCATGATGATCCTAAGACAAACAATGACACGACTTGCCCAAGCAGCTCGCACCGTGAGGAAGACATGGAATCCGAAGCGGTATCTCGGCAGCACTTGATATACGCATCTATGATCACTATTTGATCACTTATGTATATATATATATATAACTATTCTTGTTACTATCATTATTTTTTTTTTATTAATTATGATTATTAATTGTTATTATTGCATATTATTGCTATAATTATAATATATTATAAGTATATACTCTATTATATATACATAATATTGTTATGTACACATATTCCAATGGGTTCAAATACTTTTTGAGCCCCCTGAATCACAACACAAACATGCACAAACAGAAGGTACTTGCAAGTACAAACGCATCCCTAGAGTGTGCATGGTAATAAACTGCAATACATATTATTATATCTAATGTCAGATATTTAAAGACAGAGCTTCATGAACTCTCCCCTTGTGATTCCGGATCCCCAGGCCCAGGCTGCTTTCTCACTTTGCTCATATGAACTGGCTCGGCCACATCAGTCGCCCTGACTGATGCTTTCCACGATGTACATTAATCACTAGGTCAACCTAGCTTGGGAAGCGAATGGCTCGATGTTTAGCTGTAAACAGGACAGTTATCAATGATTTGTGTGTTATACCTAGCCGGCACATTTTTTGCAGGATATCTGTGCATATCTATGAACATCTAAGGTCGGATGCATAATGATTTTAAGTGGTTCTTGCGGACCTTACACTACTGAGTGAAACGGAGAGCAACATAGTCCACTGTGGGAACTATAAAACATTGATGAACAACCATGATCTTTTTGAATAAGGACCGTCGCTTTTAACCATAAATAAGATCATACTTCCCCTATACTAATATTTATATATTATATAGAGAGAGAGAGTTCTATGTGGGAATGGACTATTAGAGTTTTTGGGCACTGCTCGGACAGCTGCAGCAGAAAAAATGAGGCCTATGGTGTGGTGGACCCTCGCTTGGGCAAGGGCAAAGATCCCGCCCTGGGTGCGGATACCGCAGATTGGTGGTTCTGGGAGTCGATGCAATGCAGGTTTCTCTCAACATTTGAAGCCCCAAATACCAATGGAAAAATCCCATTTGTTTTGAACTTCATAGTCATTTTCTCTGCATAAACTGATTTTGAGACAAACATAGATATGGTTGGTTTTGAAGTGGCCTGGAGCAGGGGAACCATGGGAGCTTTGCGAGTTGGTTTTTATTAATGTTTGGTTCCTAGACTTGGCAGAGTTTTGAATTTTGAACTAGATGCAGTAGGGAGAAAAAGAATAGCTGAGGCTATCGTGCTTCATGTCTACATTCCTGGGGTTATCCCATTGATAACAGTGCTATATCCCTACTTACTGACCAGTTCTCAACTTTCTCCATTATAGCCCCACTAGTACCACTCACCAGACCCTGATAAACATCAATGCTATTTCCACAAATGGGTTATAAGAATCATCCCCGCGAACATGAAGCATTTATTAAGTCACTAAGTATACCAATCATATTCAAAAATGGTCTATCACATGTTTTGTAAGAATCATCCCCACTTATATACAAACTGTTAGAAGAATGAAACTTTCAAACACTGTGGGCCGCTGGGAAAACCCATCAAGAATGGGCATATGTATATATATATATATACGGAAAACTATCACGGTTACTATCCACTTATCCCTCGTGTGCCGATCCTGAAGCCCTGCAGTTCCAGTACTAAGTGGGCTGGAGTTCACAACTGACGGAGATTATTACTTACCATAGTTACCCTCCGGTAATCAAACGTGGCTTGCTGTAAAATCATGAAAACCCGTCAATTCATCATTTACTTTGATTTTCCCAGCTATAGAAACATGCAGCTATAGAAACATCTTGAAGCCTCTATCGATCATAGCTAGTTCGGGAATTTCCCATGGATGTCCCAGCGATGACCGGTGCATGACCGGTCTGGTGTAGCCGAGGTCCTGACATCGTTGATGGCCTTCGGGAGGTGCACGACAAGATCAAAGACGTTCGAGAGGCGGAGTGAACCGGGCACCTGCCATGTCGAAGTGGAAGAACCATGGAAAACTTAAAAACTATGAAAGAACTGAGAAAATGTGTATTGTTTGGAAAGGCATGGACAAATCGAAAACAATAAGTCCAAACAAGTATGGAGACTGATAGAGATTGATATAAACAAGTGCAAGAAAAGGTTCGGAAATCTCACATAGGATCGGTACATGAATTTCAGGCACTGATCCTCCATAGATAATTATGATATGATATGGAAAATCACCATTTTTAAGGGGAAAACTCACTATAAATGGCCATGTTCAATAGCTATGTTAAATTACCAGCGGGTACACAGTCACTACTGGGCCCTACCCCCATCGCCATCGGGCGAGCACGGCGCAGGCTTTAAACCTCTACCGCGTGGTGAAGGCCGATGGCGCACGTGCCATGCAGCAATTGGAGAGGCCATGACGGCGCAGTGGCAGCAGGGGATTGGATCAAAAAGTCAAAACATGTCAAGACTATGATACTTAGTGGGTTATAATGGTATATAGATGTCAATAGTGGTATAAAGCTCTATATATATATATGTTGAATGGCAAAGAAAAGGATGCACAACCAAAATTTTATTGAATTGGGTCGATTATAGCGACCCCAGCCATGACCAAACCAGGTCGATGATGGTTAGGGTGGGGGAAATCATCCCCAAATTGCCTTAAATCTGGTGTGGGAAATATTGTAATGTTCCCAGATATTCAGTGGATTTATAATGGGATAGAATTTTAAAAAGAATCAGCAATGCGGATGATCCGGGATACTTGGGATTGACTGACCATGGTAATATGGGTATGGATGGAAAGCTATACCATATTTCGGCGGGATGGATCATTTACATGGGAAAGAACTGGAAAGAAACAACACGATTTGGCCAGCAAAACTGGCTATTTGCTCAGCCAAACTGAAGGCAAAGAACAGGAGAAACAGAAGTTGGGGATCAATGATCAATCAGAGACCAATCACAGGGAAACATCAACGATTCAGCAAGTTGGAGGTTTGAGGAGGGACATCACTGTTACAAGGATGTTTTGCCGAGACAGTCTAAGATAATCAATATCTCATAATATCTCCATTTTTGTTACCTCGCATGATGCTTTACGGCACTTTACGGTTTTCGTGGCTACACTCATTTACTCGTTTGGAGTATGTTTCTGTGTCAGAAGGTTTTCAAACGGACGTATATAGGTCGTTCAGAATAGGATGCGCAAGAAAGGGATGCTTTATTGTGAACGCTCGTATCCCATACACCGTTTGTGGAATAACCCAAATGTTACCCAGGTTTTGGATATGAAAGGGATCATAGTTGGAGATTACATTTTTTTGACTATACAGGAAGGAAGGAGGCCCCAAACAATAGGTCTGTTGATTTATAATGTGGCAAACTGTTGCATTTATGGTGGATATGTAGAATGAACATGAATGAACTAGCTGGTGACTCATGATCCTTCTTTGTTTTTCTTAGCTTTATTTTCCATTTGATGTTTGTTTGTTACCACCCATTAAGACCAAGAGTTAAACAATCATTGCTAAAATATGATGTTATGTTTTTACTTGAACCCCATGTTTGATACTTACATACTGTTCAGCCCCATGTTTGATAGTTAAACCCTCATTTGTCATAGTCAAACCCGAATGTTTGGCGATTAAAATTAAGTCAAGTTAAATTAAACACCCGTTTTCGATAGTCAAACCATACGTAGTTTTACGAATTAAGCCTCAATGCTTGATACTGAGTTAAACCACCATGCCATGTTTGATAGTCAACCCCCCACCCAGGGTTTCATGGGTAAGTCATCTAAGTTAAACCACTATGTTTGATAGTTCAAACCCCTTTCTCAATAGTGAAACCTTCCATTTTTCATCCTCAAACCCACAATGTTGATTGTCAAGCTCATGTTTGATGCTTGAACTTAGTTCAACCAGGATATGAAAGCACCATTTGTCTATCAAGTTCAGTTTACTACATCAAAAACCCATATGGTGGTTGCCCAAAATGGGGGTACCTATGATTCCAGAAGTGACAGATCCATGCAGGTCCATCACATTGCACCTTGGTTTATCTTGCATGGCCATGATGTTTTGGCCCAATAGACTTGAGGGGTTGTATTGCTTGTGCCACGCGTCAAAACAGTTTGAGCGGATGGTGTGCAGCTTGTTGTTGCTGTGTTAGCCTTGCAGTGAGCCCAATAGTTCCAAAGCTGGTGGCGCGGAGCCTGAGCAAATCAGGGTATGTCCCGCCAATGGCAGGGAAGACGAAATGAGGAAGAGAATGAGGAGGAGGATGAGTCCTCTTTCAGCAGTAGTGCTGACAGGGGGACCAATCGGTCATCGGGGGACTTCAAGAAAGGTTCCATAGGACCACCACCGTCATATGACGGCAGCAGGGAGGTCGGCATCTTCGAAGAGCACAGGGTTCGTGCAAAGTGCTGTTCTCAACCAACATAGAAGCTAGAGCCCGAGGTCCCAGAATGATGCAAGCTTTGACAGGACGTGCATTCGATAATGTTCGTCATCTCATCGATGACTCAGACTGGTTAGATTCAACTGACAATGGTGAACAATTGTTGGAGCTTCTCTCCAAACCTGAGTACTATGGGAAGGAGGAGTTGGAGTCACTGTATCAAGCTATGCATAAGCTCTTCTACTCTGACCTTAGGAAAGATGATGACGACCTACCAGCCTTCAGGTCACGCTTTGAGCAGGCCGTGAGGAAGGTCAAGAAGCACAAAGTCGAGCTTCCATCGGAGGCCTTGGGATTCCTGTTCCTGAAGCAGTCAAAGATCGGTGCCGAATCCTTTGAAAGACTCATCACGATGACAAATGGTGATCTTCGGTTTGATGCCGTGGTGGATGGATTGAGACGTTTGAAGATGAAGTTCCTTGATGGAGATGAGCAGGCGGCTTTGTTAAATTTCGTGGGTCAGGGGGAGAAAGCTTTCAGAAAGGAAATAGAGGAAAAACAAGGGAAATAGACAAAAAACCAAACCTCAACCAGAGCAGGCATGTGACCATGGCAAAATCATGTGTTACTGGCCCAAACAATTTACACAGCAAAGGGAAAAACCATTGAAATAAAGCCAAAAGAGGTTGAACATATAAATATTTTGTGTGCCAAGATCCAAATGTATTGCCGCAGATCAAACCTAAGAGTTTAGGGTTTAGGATTTCCAATTGCATTGCCGCAGATCAAACCTAAGAGTTTAGGGTTTAAGATTTCCAACTGCATTCCCGCAGATCAAACCTAAGAGTTTAGGGTTTAGGATTTCCAACTGCATTGCAGCAGATCAAACCTCACTAACAGTTTAGGGCCTAGGATTTCCAACTGCATTGCCGCAGATCAAACCTAAGAGTTTAGGGTTTAGGATTTCCAACTGCATTGCCGCAGATCAAACCTAAGAGTTTAGGGTTTAGGATTTCCAACTGCATTGCAGCAGATCATTCCTAAGAGTTTAGGGTTTAGGATTTCCAACTGCATTGCCGCAGATCAAACCTAAGAGTTTAGGGTTTAGGATTTCCAAATGCATTGCTGCAAATCAAACCTAAGAGTTTAGGGTTTAGGATTTCCAACTGCGTTGCAGCAGGATCATTCCTAAGAGTTTAGGGTTTAGGATTTCCAACTGCATTCCGCAGATCAAACCTGAGAGTTTAGGGTTTAGGATTTCCAACTGCATTGCGCAGATCAAACCTAAGAGTTTAGGGTTTAGGATTTCCAACTGCATTGCCGCAGATCAAGCCTAAGAGCTTAGGGTTTAGGATTTCCAACTGCATCGCAGCAGATCAAACCTAAGAGTTTAGGGTTTAGGATTTCCAACTGCATTCTTTGAGTCTAAGTTCTATTTTTTGGGAACTTAGACTCCAGATTTTTTTTTGAGTCTAAGTCTAAGTTCTTTTTTTTGGAACTTACACTCCAGAATTTTTTTGAGTCTAAGGTCTTTTTTTTTGGAACTTAGATTCCAGAATTTTGTTGAATCTAACTTAGACTCCAGATTTTTTTTAGTCTAAGTTCTTTTTTTGGAACTTAGACTCCAGATTTTTTTTTGGGTCTAAGTTTTTTTTTGGAACTTAGACTCCATAATTTCTTTGAGTCTAAGTTCATTTTTTGGGAACTTAGACTTCGGATTTTTTTTGAGTAAGTTCTTTTTTTTGGAACTTAGACTCCAGATTTTTTTGAATCTAAGTTCTTTTTTTTGGAACTTACACTCCAGAATTTTTTTGAGTCTAAGTTCTTTTTTTTTGGAACTTAGACTCCAGATTTTTTTAAATCTAAGTTTTTTTTTTGGAACTTAGACTCCAGATTTTTTTTTTTTTGGAACTTAGACTCCGGAATTTTTTTCGGGGTCTAAGGTCTAATTTTTTTGGAGTTTAGACTCAGGATTTTTTTGGGATCTATTTTTTTTGTGGAACTTAGACCCCATATTTTTTTGAGTCTAAGTTCTTTTTTTTTGAACTTAGACTCCAGATTTTTTTTTCGTCTAAGTTTTTTTTTTGGAACTTAGACTCCAAAAATCTGGAGTCTAAGTTCCAAAAAAAAAACTTAGACTGAGACTCGAAAAAAATCTGGGGTCTAAGTTCCAAAAAAATGAACTTAGACTCAAAGAAATTATGAAGTCTAAGTTCCAAAAAAAACTTAGACCCCAAAAAAAATCTGGAGTCTAAGTTCCAAAAAAAAAACTTAGACCCCAAAAAAAATCTGGAGTCTAAGTTCCAAAAAAAAACTTGGACTAAAAAAAAATCTGGAGTCTAAGTTCCAAAAAAAAGAACTTAGACTCAAAAAAATATGGGGTCTAAGTTCCAAAAAAAAACTTAGACCCAAAAAAAAATCTGGAGTCTAAGTTCCAAAAAAAAAACTTAGACTAAAAAAAAATCTGGAGTCTAAGTTCAAAAAAAAGAACTTAGACTCAAAAAAATATGGGGTCTAAGTTCCAAAAAAAAAGAACTTAGATTTAAAAAAATCTGGAGTCTAAGTTCCAAAAAAAAGAACTTAGACTCAAAAAAATTCTGGAGTGTAAGTTCCAAAAAAAAGAACTTAGATTCAAAAAAATCTGGAGTCTAAGTTCCAAAAAAAAAGAACTTAGACTCAAAAAAAATCTGGAGTCTAAGTTCGAAAAAAATGAACTTAGACTCAAAGAAATTATGAAGTCTAAGTTCCAAAAAAAAACTTAGACCCAAAAAAAAATCTGGAGTCTAAGTTCCAAAAAAAAAACTTAGACTAAAAAAAAATCTGGAGTCTAAGTTCAAAAAAAAAGAACTTAGACTCAAAAAAATATGGGGTCTAAGTTCCACAAAAAAAATAGATCCCAAAAAAATCCTGAGTCTAAATTCCAAAAAAATTAGAACTTAGACCCCGAAAAAAAATCCGGAGTCTAAGTTCCAAAAAAAAAACCAAAAAATTCTGGAGTCTAAGTTCCAAAAAAAAAGAATTTAGACTCTGGAACAGGTTTCCTCATATAGATTTTATTGCATTTTTTTGTTGAAATGCTGCCTTTTTGACACAAAAATCTATATATATGACCTTGAAAACAGCCTTCAGACATATAGATTTTTGCACAAAAAAACTGCATATCCTCAGAAAATGATTGAAAAATATATATGCATGAAAGTGGTTCAGGGTCTAAGTTCTTTTTTTTTGGAACTTAGACTTTTTTTTTGGGAATTAGACTTTTTTTTTCATTTTTCATTTTTCTAATAATTTTTTTTAATTTTTTTAATTTTTATTTTTTTATTTTCAATTTCTTCTTTTTAGATTTTATTATTTTTGTCTCATGTCTATTGAAAAGTTTTTTCCCAGAACAAAACTTAGACTTAAAAAAAATCTGAAGTCTAAGTCTAAGTTCCAAAAAAAAGAACTTAGACCCAAAACAAATTCCAGAGCCTAAGTACAAAAAAAAGGAACTTAGACTTAGACTCAAAAAAATCTGGAGTCTAAGTTCCAAAAAAAAAACTTAGACTGAGACTCGAAAAAAATCTGGGGTCTAAGTTCCAAAAAAAAAGAACTTAGACTCAAAAAAAATCTGGAGTCTAAGTTCCAAAAAAATGAACTTAGACTCAAAGAAATTATGAAGTCTAAGTTCCAAAAAAAAACTTAGACCCAAAAAAAATCAGGAGTCTAAGTTCCAAAAAAAAACTTAGACTAAAAAAAATCTGGAGTCTAAGTTCAAAAAAAAGAACTTAGACTCAAAAAAATATGGGGTCTAAGTTCCACAAAAAAAATAGATCCCAAAAAAATCCTGAGTCTAAATTCCAAAAAAAATTAGAACTTAGACCCCGAAAAAAAATCCGGAGTCTAAGTTCCAAAAAAAAAACCCAAAAAATTCTGGAGTCTAAGTTCCAAAAAAAAAGAACTTAGATTTAAAAAAATCTGGAGTCTAAGTTAGACTCAACAAAATTCTGGAATCTAAGTTCCAAAAAAAAAGGCCTTAGACTCAAAAAAATTCTGGAGTGTAAGTTCCCAAAAAAAAACTTAGATTCAAAAAAATCTGGAGTCTAAATTCCAAAAAAAAAGAACTTAGACTCAAAAAAAATCTGGAGTCTAAGTTCGAAAAAAATGAACTTAGACTCAAAGAAATTATGAAGTCTAAGTTCCAAAAAAAAAACTTAGACCCAAAAAAAATCCGAAGTCTAAGTTCGAAAAAAATGAACTTAGACTCAAAGAAATTATGGAGTCTAAGTTCCAAAAAAAAACTTAGACCCAAAAAAAATCTGGAGTCTAAGTTCCAAAAAAAAACTTAGACTAAAAAAAATCTGGAGTCTAAGTTAGATTCAACAAAATTCTGGAATCTAAGTTCCAAAAAAAAAGACCTTAGACTCAAAAAAAATCTGGAGTGTAAGTTCCAAAAAAAAAGAACTTAGACTTAGACTCAAAAAAAAATCTGGAGTCTAAGTTCCAAAAAATAGAACTTAGACTCAAAGAATGCAGTTGGAAATCCTAAACCCTAAACTCTTAGGTTTGATCTGCTGCGATGCAGTTGGAAATCCTAAACCCTAAGCTCTTAGGTTTGATCTGCGGCAATGCAGTTGGAAATCCTAAACCCTAAACTCTTAGGTTTGGTCTGCGGCAATGCAGTTGGAAATCCTAAACCCTAAACTCTCAGGTTTGATCTGCGGAAATGCAGTTGGAAATCCTAAACCCTAAACTCTTAGGTTTGATTTGCAGCAATGCATTTGGAAATCCTAAACCCTAAACTCTTAGGTTTGATCTGCGGCAATGCAGTTGGAAATCCTGAGCCCTAAACTCTTAGGAATGATCTGCTGCAATGCAGTTGGAAATCCTAAACCCTAAACTCTTAGGTTTGATCTGCGGCAATGCAGTTGGAAATCCTAAACCCTAAACTCTTAGGTTTGATCTGCGGCAATGCAGTTGGAAATCCTAGGCCCTAAACTGTTAGTGAGGTTTGATCTGCTGCAATGCAGTTGGAAATCCTAAACCCTAAACTCTTAGGTTTGATCTGCGGGAATGCAGTTGGAAATCTTAAACCCTAAACTCTTAGGTTTGATCTGCGGCAATGCAGTTGGAAATCCTAAACCCTAAACTCTTTGAAATTATCTGCGGCAATGCATATTTATATGCTACATATATTTACACTACACTACACTCCACTACACTGCAATTACAACTACAACTACACCTACACTACACTCCACTACACTCAATTACACTACACTACACTACCTTACACCACACTACACTCCACTACACTAAATTACACTACACTAGACTCCACTACACTACACTACACTAGACTCCACTACACTTCGCGACATTACTCTACACTACACTACCTTCCACTACACTTCAAGACATTACTCTACACTACACTCCACTACACTACACCTACATCTACAACTACACTCCACTACACTCCACTACATTACACACTACATTACACTACACTTCATTACAGTGAATGACACTGCACCAAAGATAGACAGGTAGACAGATAGATAGATAAATAGATAGATAGATAGATAGATAGACAGGTAGACAAGAGTGAGAGAGATCAACCTCCTTTCAGTCCAGCAGTGGCTTCGCTCTGCCATCTCTGATTCACAACAACTAATCTCTCCTATAGGTTTCCTATTTTTAAAACTTCCCCGACCGCCTTGTGCGGTACTACTGGTACTTACATACTTATACTTATACTTATACAGATTTCTCATCATTTATCAAACATATATATAGACTAGAAAATGGACTTGGGTGTTTTACAGAATGCTCTGAGATTCCGCTGCACTCTGAAAACTTGAGCAAGCAGAGGCGAACCTACTTTCTGCAGGAAAGTGAAGCAGAATGGCGGAGCTTTGGGGTTTGGGGTACTTGCTTTGCCATTGTTGCTGCCTGCCTAATACACCTTTTCTCACCAATCTCTATTTGGCTGGCGGGCAAAAAGCGCATTCCTGGTCTGCAACTAGCAGGCGCAGCACAGTTGCAACAGCAAAAACTGATAGATAATCTCAATTTCTCAAAGATTTGGGATCAAATTGGTAGATATTGGCTTTAGGAAAGGGTGGCTGTATCTAGTGCCAAATATCAATATCACTTTTCAGCGCTGGATTTTGTCTATTTCCTTTTCTTTTCCTCTATTTCCTTTTTGAATCCTTTCTCTGGGTCAATTCCCCCTGACCCACGAAAGTTAATAGGCGGCTTCAAAGAAACGTCATCTGTGGGTTCAAGAGACTGTCGACGAGGAGACCCAGGAGTTTTCTGGCGACATGGCCCATGACGACGATGACATTGACCTGATCGAACAGGCCATTGCAGATCTGGATGGTGATGACACCTCAAAAACTGCTGAGGTTACAGAAGACGGTGCTCGAGAGATTCTCATGACGCTCATAAAGCAGAAAGTGAACAAGCCCGTGTCCATGACCTACAAGCAGGTTCAGCAGCAAAAGCGTGAGGTCCGAAATGCCAGGGGTTACCGTCCAGTAGTTGGGGCCAATAACCAGGGTTTGGGGACCATGAGAAGGGATCTTCAACAATTAAAATCAGTAACACGATGTAAATCATGTGGTGAGGTTGGTCATTGGCACCGTGAATGCCCCCAAAAGAATGCCAATGGTGGTAAGATCCCTGCATCCTCAACCGGAGGAAACACATCCGGCACAGCCCATGGTTGGTGGTCACTTGTACAGTCCGTAGATGACAGTGCAGCATCCGATGCAGCCGAAGCCTTTTCCGAGTTGCAAGCCTCTAAGGAATAGGAAACATGTCCTGTGGCCGTATGGACAACTGAGGTTCAGGTGAATAACTTCAGTAGGACCACAGGATTCCAGTTGTTTTCACCAGGCATGAAGCAAGTCATCCGACATGTCATGCAAGTTTTTCCTGAAGGGTTTGCAACCGTTTCCAATAGTTCACAACCCCTCGAGTCCGGCAGTGTGAAACCTGTTGCAATGATGAATGCCAATGGCATGCAACCAGTGGAAGCCTATCACTACTGTACCAGTGAGAGTTTTGCAGTAATTGATACCGGTTGTCAACGTTCTGCAATTGGAAGAAGAACTCTGGAAAACATCTCAGCCAGACTTCCAGAAGGTCTTAGCATAAAATTTGTTTCTCAGAAGTTCCGATTCACTGGCATCGGCGGTGAGACGGTGACGAACTGCGTTGCCTTAATCCCGGTGTGTTTGGACAGAGACCAGGAATGATTCGTGCTGCAGTATTAGAAGACACTCCTGATGCTCCCTTTCTTTTGTCCTTGCCGATTTTGAAGGCCTTAGATACCGCGTTGAGTCTAGGACATGGAAACATGCACTTTCAGGCCATCCATGAGTCCGGCAAGATGTTCTACAATGACAAGGGACAGCTCTGTCTGAAACTTTTTGAGTTTGATGCCATAGCTGAGTGCTCCGAAAACTCTCCAGACCAGTGGAAGGTTCAGAAAATCATCGGTGATGAATGCCAGGTGTTTTTGCTTCAGCAGCCACTGCCAAACCAAATAACTGGGGAAATAGATAATCTTGGGGATAAATCTCATCAAATGAAATCGCGTGATATGCAGTTGGATAACGGGGTAGTTATGGGAAACTATAATCCAAATCCAGTTGCATATAGTGACACCAAGCATGTCGATGCAGATGCTGTCGAAACAATCAATTGTACAGAATCCAAGGTATCAGTGTCTCGTTTTTCAAAGTCAGCCACTGCACCAACTGATGTTTTCCAGTCGCAATCAAATTCAAGCATCGCAGAGACTCCGTTGTCCAATCCTCGACCGTGTCACTCAGACCATGGAGGAGCAGACGTCGTCTCGAGGCAACAAGAGAGCATGCACCTCACATGCGGAGGCCAGTCCAAAGTATGTCAGCCAGTGGTCACGCATGTACAACAAGCTCAAGATCCAGGAACATCTGGACACCATGGTCCGACTCATGATCGGATTGGCAATACCATTGATGAATGTGTTGATGCGAGTACTGGCGATGATGATGAAGGTTGCGGATATGGAAGAGGTCGACACTCTTCAAGAGATGATGAACCACATGGTGATCGAAAAGAAGAGACACGAAAAGGGCATGAAAGAAAGTTGGATGGAAACTCCATGTTACCCGAAGTCCAAGGATCGACGCTCACAGAAGACCAGCACAACCGGCAATTTCTCAGTGATCTCAGCAGAAAATCTGGACCGACTCATGACGCAGTCACCCAGACATCAAGGGCCATCCAGTTCAAGCCAGAGTGTGAGGTCTCAGAGCTCGATCGAGCTGTGTTACTGCGGCCTGAAGCCGGTTCGGTACACTTGCCGCAAGCAGGGACTCAACTACATGAGACAGTTTTACCGATGCCCCAAAGAACCACAGTCCATACATCAGTGCCACTACTTCCAGTGGATCCAGGAGACCAAGGGCGAGGAGTACGAGAGAATCTATGCTTCCTCACAAGGGTCGAGACAGCCAACAGGCACTCCAGTGAGATCAAGGAAGCATTACGAAGAAGGATACGCCTCTTACGGCGAGCCAGACGTGGACTCCAGCCCTGGACAGAGTCAGGTGATCCGAAGCCCAACAAGGTCTCCTCCTGCACCTCCCAGAGAGTGCAACCATCAGTGGAACAAACGAGGCACCAATGCGTATCAGAAGATGCGCACATGCATGCACTGTGGACTCCAGGAGATCACCATCTACAAGAACAACCAGACCACGCAGCGATGGGTGGACGTGACCAACCTCAAGAAATCAGGACGGCCACGTGCTCTGAGTCCGTAAGCATCAAAACCGGTCAGCGAAAGCACATCTTGGGTGAAATTCAAAAACGAATTGAACAATTGGAACATGATACTGTCAAACATTCCTTTGATGAAACCAATGTTATTGATGAGGATGTTTCTGACTCCAATCTTGTCAAAGAACTGATGCACTTGCGGTTGATTGGTGAAGTGTTTAGTCCGAATCGTTTTGTGTCTAGATCACCCAAGCATGACCTGAAGGCAGGACAGGCATTCGATCTACAATTGGGTCATCAGCTACTATGTCCAAAGCAGAGAAAACAGTGTTTGGAACATTTGATTAACAATCCATATGACTTGGTGATTGTCACACCACCGTGCCACCTTGCACGATGTTTTCAATGCTACAATATCTGGGACTCGGCAAGTCCAGAGAAAGCTGTATGAATGACCCAACCTTCCGGAAGAAGTATCATGATGCCTGCGTACTGCTTACGTTTGCTGCAGTGGTGTGCACAATTCAAGCTCGTCGAGGTAAGAGTTTTCTCTTTGAACAGCCTTGGAATGCACTATCATGGAATGAGTCCAGTATTAAAAGACTGTTGAATGAACCAGGTACCATGTTGATTAGAACTGATCAATGTATGTTTGGACAAAAGGACTTGAATCAACAGCCAATTAGAAAACGTACTGGATTCCTCACCAACCATGTTGGTATTGCTGCCGCCTTGAAACGAACGTGTAAGAATAACCATGTTCACCAACAGTGCGTCGGTAGCATACATGGTCATGCCAGAGCCAGTCAAGCAGCTCGATACCCGACTGCTTTGATAGATGCTGTCCTCCGAGCCTTTGCAAAGTCTGGTCCCAACAAGATTGACCAGCATCAAGTGCACTTGTGTTCCGTTGCCTGGCAACATGAATGTCCTGATGGTTCGAAACGAAATGTCAGACGTACTCAGGTCTTCCGAAGTCAACATGCCAACTCTGATGTGTCAACTCAGCATGATGATGGTTTTGTTGCAGACCCCACTGAACAAATTGTACAGTTTCTGGCCGAACCTACATTCGAACAATTTGCAGTTCAGGACATAGCCAATGCAGAAGCTGATGCATCCCACCAACCATTGACCGAGGAAGAGTCTCAAGCAGTGGAGCTGTTGTCGCCAGCACAACATAGCACAACGTCGTTCCTTAAATAATGAGATCACTAGGGCACATCGTGGCATGGGCCACCCAAACCATGATCGTTTTCTTAGGATCTTGAGACTTGCAGGCGCGTCAATGGCCACTTTGGGGTTGGCCAAGAACTTTGAATGTTCCCAATGCAAAGAGGACGCCCGTCCAAAGCCGTGGAGAAGAGCAGCCCCACCAAGGGAACTGGAATTTAATCAAGTAGTAGGTGTTGACACTTTGACCATTAAGCATCATGATGTAAGTGTCAAATGCTTAAACATAATCTGTTGGGGCACCCGCTATCAAATGATCATTCCACTCTCGGGGCTTACTGCCTCTCATGTGCGCAGTGCTTACAGGACTTGGGTGAAGCTATTTGGACCACCAAAAGTCGTCAAACCTGATATGGGATCTGAGTTCTTAGGAGCCTTCATGTACAGAACCGCAACAGATGGAACAGAAGTTGATGTCAGCAGTTTGGAAAGCCCAACCCAAAATTCAATCACGGAAAGAGAGGGTGGATCGTTCAAAACCATGTTCAACAAGGCTAGTCTGGATTATGGACCAACTTCAGATCCTGATGAAGTCTTTGAACTGATCGAAACAGTCAACATGTGCAAGAATCGACTGTGTCACCGTGGAGGCTATTCTGCAGTCCATAGAGTGTTTGGTTACACACCAGCCATGCCAGGGGATGTCTTAATGAGTCGTGAGGAAGAAGACAACCGCACACACCATTCCATGATTGGCTTGGGCGATGTGACCTTGCAAAAACAAGCAAGGATGCGAGAATGTGCAGGTCGTGCGTTTTTCTCCTCAGAATGTGCAGCAGCCATTAGGAGAGCCGTCAGTAGTGGGCCTCGCAAGGTTCAAAGTTTTGAGGTGGGACAATTGGTGTATTTTTGGTCATTTGGACAGTTTAACAAAGTTGCAGTTCATCACTCGGCATCACGTCGGCCTAACCATCAGTTCTGGAATGGTCCATGCCGTGTCGTTGCCACGCAGTATCCATCAAGCATCTACATATCATATCAAGGAAGACTTGTCAAAGCCGCTCCAGAACAACTCAGACTTGCCAGCAGTGATGAAGATGCCGCATGTAGCTCAGTTTTGAAGAATCTGTGTGAAATTCGAAATGAACTGCGACACAACAAAATCAGTGGCCTTAGTGACATCAGACATGAACCCTATATCCTCCAGAGCCTGAGACCCATCCCACGGGACGAAAACGTGCGTCGTCCAAGCAACCTCCTTTTGATCCGCAGAAACAGCCGAAGCTGAGTCTTGAAGATCTTGTGCAGGGAATGGATGATGATGATGATGATGATGATATGGTTCCTTCACCCTCAACGCCAAGAGCCATGTCCGAAGCCGATACTGAAAGTTTGGAATCCGATCAAGAACTACTTTTGGAATGTGAACCCAATAGCGTTTTGGAATTCAATCAAGTTTTCTCCATGGATATTGGTGATCAACACAATCATGCAGGTGCAGGAACCCATTCATCTACCGTCAACAAAAGAGCCAACAAAGAGATCCGACTCAAGGATCTTGATCGTCACGACTATGAACTTTTCAAGCAGGCCATTCAAAAGGAATGGAAGACAAATATCGACAATGGCGCCATTTCGGTAGTAGACCCTCATGAAGCACAGAAAATTAGACAGCATTATTCTCACCGAATCATGCAAAGCAGGCTACTGCACGTGGCAAAGCCCATTGACGATGTGACGCAAGTTGGTCCTGAGACCATACTCAACTGCAGTCCCGATGGTGCACCATGTAAGGCCAAGTCAAGATGGGTTGCAAGAGGTGATAAGGATCCCGACATTTTTAGTGTTTGTGCATCCTCTCCAGTAATCCATAGAGATACTTTCATGATGGGATTGCAAGCCATTAGTTCCATGCGTTGGAGGATGCACTTTGCCGACTTCAGCCAGGCATTCATGCAGGGTGACACCTTACAGAGAGATGCTCCCTTGTATTGTGAACCTCCAGAAAGGGAACTTTTAGGTCTTCCACCAAATTGTTTGATCGAAATCAAGAAAACAGTTTATGGTTTGGTTGATGCACCATATCGTTGGAATCGACACCTGGACAAAACCTTCCAGGATATGGGATACAAACCATCCATACTTGATCCATGCTGCTATTTACTCCATGCCAAAGATGAACATAACAACACATACTTGGACGGAATCATCATGGTGGCAACCGATGATCTTGTGAGTGGTGGTGGTCCACGTCATCAAAGTTTAATGGAGCAGCTTCGATCAAAATACAAGTTTGGTAAGTGGGAATATGACTCAGGTAGATTCTGTGGAAAAGATATTCAACAAAGGAAGGATGGAACAATTCACCTTAGTCAACAGTACTATGCCGAACAAAAGTGCCATGACAGAATCGTCATTCCTAAAGGTGCTGACAATGACACTCCATGCAATACAGAACAAGTCAGACAGCTTCGAGAAAAGGTTGGTGCTCTCAGTTGGCTTTCAAAGGAAACACGTGTTGATCTGGCCGGCAGTGTGTCTCTTCTCATGCAAGCCTTTCCATGTCCAGTCATTGGTGACCTGAAGACCTGTAATAAGATACTTAAAGAAGCTTACCTATACCGAGATATAGGTGTCACCATTCGACCGGTAAATCCAAAAGACTTGTGCATCGTCGTGACATCAGATGCTGCCTGGGCAAATGCCAAAGATGAGGAAGGAGGCCATAAATCTCAAGCTGGGTATATTGTTCTTTCAACAGATCGAAAAATGTTGCAAGGTGGTGAAACTATGTTTTCGATGTTGAGTTGGAAAAGCCATACATTGAAACGTCGAACTATTTCAACCTTGAGTGCAGAAACCCAGGGAATTGTTGAAAGTGCTGCCGTTGCATGTTGGTTCAGGTACTTGATCGCTGAGATGTTTTACAATGACTTGGTTAATCATGGAACAATTGATTGGGAAACAATGTTGGAGCCCCTGGAATTTGGTATTGTCACTGACGCCAAGTCAGTGTATGACGCATTGACTGCTTCACATAATGCCAATTCAAGCACTGACAAACGTACCTGTATCGATTTAGCCATTATCCGAGAGTACTTGCGTCGACATAATGGTTGCATTCGTTGGATTGATGGAACAGTTCAACTTGCAGACTCCCTGACCAAGTTTATGACAGCAGACTTTCTTCGATCTGTGATTGCAAGAGGTTCATACCAGTTACAAGCAGAGTTTGACACTTTGAACTTGAGACACAAAGCCAAGGAAGAGAAACGACAGCGAAAAGACAAGATAAACCAACAATAGTTGGAGGGAATATGATTCCAGAGGTGACAGACCCATGCAGGTCCATCACATTGCACCTTGGTTTATCTTGCATGGCCATGATGTTTTGGCCCAATAGACTTGAGGGGTTGTATTGCTTGTGCCACGCGTCAAAACAGTTTGAGCGGATGGTGTGCAGCTTGTTGCTGTGTTAGCCTTGCAGTGAGCCCAATAGTTCCAAAGTACCCCCAAATCATCCATGTCAATAGGATTTTCCCTTATAAACAATCCAGCTAGTGGGGTACCTCCATTTTCAGGAAACCACCATATATTCCGTACATGACATGTTCCCTATGTTGCATGAGTTTTCCCCATTTTTCCCTTTAACCCTTTAACCAATCCAATAGGGATAATTATGGATTGGATCTATAAGCCATTTATGCAAAGTATACTTTTTTGCTACTATGTATCCAGTCAGCCAATATTAACCATCATTAAACCATCATAAAACTATCCAATGAATACTGGTTGGATGGCCAAAAAATCCCAGCATTTCGCCAGGATGCCACGCCAGATGCCTGGAGGCGTTCCCTGGGCCTCGGCTCTGGACCTGGAACATGTGGCCTGGGAAGCTCAGCGGACGTGGCCTGGGAAGCCCCCCAAAATGCTGGGGAAAATGGTGGAAAAACCATGGAAATCCATGGAAAACCACGCAAAACCATGGAAAACCATGGCAAACCATGGAAAATGATGGATACATGATGGAAAAATTTGAAAGAACACTTGGAGAAGAAGATGACATCTGATGAAAACTGGGAGATCTGATCTAATTTCGGAATTTCAGTAGTTGAAACAGCTGAACAATAGCGATTGAAGAAGAGAACTTTTGGAATTTGACCGACTGAAAATGGGGATTGTACCAATGGCCATCGTTTGGAAAAGTATAGGATTAAACTTAAACAACTTTGGGGAACATGGAGTTTAGGGTTTGGCCAAGTTTACTATAAGTGTATCTATCAAGAATGGGGATGTCACCACAAACAGTTGGTTTTTACCAACAAGACTTGTTGCATGTACCAGTGGCTAGGGGATTATCATATATCCCTCACCGAGTGGAATCTTGGAGACCTCAAACAATCACATATGTTTGGATCTTCACATGGCTTTGTTTACAGTCCCTATTGAAATCGAATGAAATCTATTTTTGGCAAGTATCCTCTACTCATCTCTACTCAATTGTCCCGGAATGCAGGATTTCTTCTGAACGTTGACTTGGGACTCATCCATTCCCACTCAGGTTCCTATAGTCTTGACCTGCCCCCGTAGCACAGAGTAGATGTGCAAGCGTGCAAGAACGCTAAAGAACGCTACAACAACGTAGCACAGCGTAGATGTGCAAGCGTGCAAGAACGCTGTCTCTAGCATGTCCAGTTTTCCAAGCGTGCGTGGAAGGATGACTGTAACCCCACTTGACTCATTCTGTTGGGATAAAAAGACTGTACCAACCATAATCTGGATTTCACCAACCCACTCAGTTCGGTGACCCCAAAAATAAATACACGGTTAAGATTCGCCCATTCTAAACGTGGTTGTTGGTGGTTAAGATGTGTGAAGCCCAGCCATTCTATGGGGGCTCATTCCTCTCGGGAGGTTGTTGAACCGTCCAAGGTTGAACAGACCAAGTACATCCCCTCAGCAGACTTCGATAACTTGATCAACGGGATGCACGCCTCTTGCCGCGAAGATCGCGAAGAGTAAGATTAACGGGTTCCATGTTACTCGTGATTGATGCATATGTATGGTATGTGGGATGGTGATGTTTTATGGTATAATATATATATATATTGTGTGTGTATGATCAACATTGATTAACCATACTAGTTATAGTGATGCTTTATATTGAAACTTTGGAAGTTAGCTTAAACAATAATTATATAAATAACTATTGTTTTAAATGTTTTTTCTTATGATTTCACTATGTCGGAAAAAAACAGGAAATTTGCAGATATGATTTTTTCATGTTTTTTTTAAGATTGAATATATTTATTATGGCGAAAATTATGATTTCTGGACCGCTTAGGCCAGGGAGAGTTCGCGTCTCGGAATCGTCATTAAAAAACATTTCAGAAAAAACATAAGATTTGTGTTGTTTTTCATGAAAATGTTTATGTGTTTTTTGAATGATTTGTTGTATTATTTTTTTATGTTTTTGTTTTTCTAATGAACAATTTTATGTTTTTTTATCAAAAAAAAATGAGTTGTTTATGAATTCGAAAGGGTAAGAAGAAACATCAAAAAATCACATGTTCTTATGATGTTTTATGTTTTTTTTTATGATTTGTTTATTGAACATTTCATGGGTTTCAGGATTTTTGATTTTTTTTTAATGAAAATTTAATGATTTGTTTTATGTTTTTTCAATGATTTTGTTATGAATAATTTGTGTTTTTTTTAATGATTTGTTTAATGTTTTTTTTGAATTTGAAAGGGTAAGAAAAATCATCAAATGATCAACAATTTTATGTTTTATTTTTTAATGAACATTTTATGATTTGTTTTATGAATAGGTTATGTTTTTTTGTGTGTTTTTAAAGAAACTTTTATGTTTTTATTTTTGAAAAAAATGTATTTTTATGAAAAACATATGTTTTTTATGTTTGATTATGATATGTTTTTTTTTTTGATTCCGAGGCCGGGCCCTCCCGGGCCCAAGCGGTCCAGAAATCATAAACTTCATCATAAATTCAATCATAAATAAATCGTAAATGAAAACCGATAAAAAAACAATCATAAAATTCCTCATATTGAAATGGAAAAAAACATAAATGATATTATTTTTAACATAAGGCTCCCTTGCTACTTACTTGCAAAGTCTCAATGTTAATAGTTATTCACCCATTGTTGATGATGGTGGCACATTGCCAGCATGTTTTCTGTTTGCATCACCGAGGAGATGCAAGCGTGGGACCTCAGCAAGATGTGTCAAGTTGAAGCCTGTTTGCTGATGGTAAATAGTATGTGGTTTGATGGCAACAGTAACCCCACAAGATAGAAAAATGATACTTTAGAACTGCTTTAATAGAATATTGATCAGTTTTTTTGGGGGGGGTGCTATCACCCTACTGCGAAGTCTTGTAGATCCCCTTGTGGTTGATGATCTTCAGAATTCGCCCAAATGGCCATCCTAGTTCCGACCAAGTGGCTATCCACAGGAGGTCTTGGGTGTTTGATAGTTTTTTGGGCAACTGCTCATCTGGGTGATTCAAGTTATTACCTTTAATATCCTTTAATACTATACATATTATGTTGTATGTAATGTATATCTCTATCTCTATATATATATATATATGTTCTTTGAACTATATACATTGGTTTTGATACTCCTGGTTGGAACATCTTGGAACACAGGACCTCATGGTGAAAATCCGACTGAGTTAAGCTTGGACGGCACCCTGCGGAACTATTTGATGAAGAAAGCTGCAGCTCACGAGGCGGGTCGTTGCCCGTCATTGGAGACCGAAAAGAAAGTGGGGGAGAGCCAATTTTTAGGGATGTCCCAGATGTATGTGCATTATATGTAGAATATATTATCTATATGTTATAACATATACATAGGTATTATCTATTTGATGGGTAGGGTAAACCTCAAAATCTTATATGGATATCAAACACACACATATATATATATATATACATATACGGGATAGGATTTGTGGATATGATTTATGAGATATGTTGTTTTTTTCATGTTTTTTTGCGAGTGAGAGGGGGGGTCGTAGAACTAGCAATATGTGATTTGGATATGTTGCGTTCGTACAAAAACGGGTTGGCTACCCCAGGTCATTCAAATTATTACCTTTAAATGATGTGAACAATGATTTTGTGTGAACCATGATATTCAAGGCGGTGTCATCATTTCAGGCAAAGCCAGGTGGTGTCCAGCTAATCTTGTGTGGAGGTTTGAGACTGAACACTGTGTTGTGTTTATTGTCTTCTGTGTGATCTTCTGGACTTCTGGTGGCTATATGTTGGTATCCTAAAATAGGGGTGCCCCTAAATCAACCATTTTCAGAGGATGTTCCATGAAATAAACGAGCTATTGGGTACCCCCATGACTATGGAAACCCCCTTAGCAGATGCCAGGAGTTCAGGAGCAAAGAGGGGGTCCGATTGGTCACAACCCAAAAGGTTGGGTAAGTCAATGGGGTAACAGTTGTCTACACGTGTTTTTTTGGTGCAACACACCATACCCAGCTTCAAGTTATTTGTTGCTAGGCATCATAGTGGACTCAAGGACCGAGCTTGGGACAAGATACAAGGACACAATGATATGTGCTATTTGCGGTTCATCTCGGCCATGTTCAAAGCATCTACTATAGAATCTGCTGCAACTATATAATTTTGAACACATACTGTAGTTTCACAAGATTTTACAAGTCATGTTCGGTAACAAAATAGATTATATAAAGAACCATGCTTGTCCCATGATAGAATTTCCCACCCGGATTATCCCGGATTACCCAAAAACAAGCATTTGCGGCCAGTCTGCGCGAGAATCCATGTCGGAGGCGGCCCAGGCGTTGCAAGAAATAGCACTGCGGAGAGGTTGAGACACTCATTGAATTTGGTCTTGCTATGCATTATGTTTGGACTAATGCATTCTTACTGTGGATGGAAGAAATCCTGCACCAGTTCTTGGTGGTTTATATTGGTTTATCCCATTATTTACAGGGTTTCAACCATCCAAGGTGGTGCAGGATTTCTTCCACCCACCGTATGTTAGTTTTTGACGTCAGTTTCTGTGAGATCAGACTTGATGTTGAAGTCCTTGGGATGCGCCAAAATGACTCTCCAGCATCCACTTTCAGGCGGCAAGAGAGGCAGCAGATCTCATTCGCGGTGCCAACCCGGACGGGGCAGGGTCAGGAAATGCTGGGAAGGGGATGGATTACCCTCTAGCTATGACTAACATAGCCATGGGAAATGGGCCATTTATAGAGGTTTACCTATTAAAAATGGTGATTTTCCATGGCTATAATAAATAAACAGATGGTTTCGTTTATTGACCCCAGTTATAAACCAGTCGCGAGGTCGTGGGGTGAGTCCAAAAACTCGGCCGCCGCAGAAGATGTCTCTTGGTTGACAAACCAAACCAGGATGGGGATGAAACTCTAGGGACATAAGGAACCACCAAAAAGAACACCTTAAAAAACATACAAAGTCCTGGTTCATCAGTGGCGTTCTGGCAAATAAACTTCCAAATATCATCAAATATCTAGGAATATCCATATCTAGGAATATCCAAGACTGGTAATAGTCATCCCAATATAGGTAATGAAGATTCCCAATCTCTCCAAGAGCCGCCTGGTGTAGGACGCGGTCCCTCCACCCGAAGCTGAGCCGCTTCCAGAAGCTCAGGACAGCTGAGGTGGACCTGTTGAAGTTACCATACCCTGAACCTTGGGTTAATCCAGTCTGGGTAAATTATAACGACCTCACTGCGATCTCACTGGGAATCATGGTTAATAAGGGAAATCATCCCCAAATGGTAATGGCCTTAATTCAGGTTAGTGAAATATCATAATCTACCCAGATCCAGTTGCAGATGGGTTTATCATTGGTTAATCATTGGTTAATCCATGTCAACATCAACCAACTGGATGAGTATTTGAGATTCCTTGAGTGTTTGGCTATGCAAAATAACCACAAGCAGCATACGGTGTTTTTTTGGTGGACGACCAAAGATTGACCATGTAAAGTGACATAGCCGACATAGCTTTTGTTTACATTTAGATGGCCCATTTAGTTCGATTCTAGTGTTGGATCTATCAAAGATATATTAAACATGGTGATTTCCCATGTCACACACTGTTAACTTAGCTTAGGGTAAGTGAATAAAAAACATTCAGGACGTGGTTTTCAATCAGAAATCCCATCAGTTGGGATCATGATCCCGATGGATGTTGAGCTATTCCCCCAGGATATCTTGGACCTCACAGGGTGGTGCTCCCAAGTTGGTATGTTCACCCCAAAATATTTTAAGCATGTGTGTATATATATATATATACACATTTGGTCAGCATAAACCCTAGCTAAGCATAAATAACCATAGTTATCCTACTTATATCAGAACTACTGCTGAAGTCCACATGTTTGGCGGATTGGTGGACAAAAACCTCCAGGGTGGGGCCCCAAACGATAGCCACGTTGGTGCAAAGTTCACTGGGTGAATTCTATGGTTTGTGGTAGATACAGTATATTTATTGACCTGTTTAGATGAGGTTATAAACCAACAAACATAACAACTGGCATAAGTATTCGGGCAAAATATACACTATACAATAGATATAAACTAAATTCACAATAAACATAGAATAAATACAGAATAAATATGGAATGAATATAGAATAAATATAAAATAAATATACAATAAATATAGAATACATATATACGATAAACAATATACAATAAATATAGAATCAATATGCAATCAATATGCAATCACGATACAATAAATATGCATCATACATCCATTTATAGACGATTCTGTCGAGACTTTTTCTCAACAAAAAACATCACTGGGGGCCCATCGATCTGTCGGCAGGAGTTGCCACCAGAGGAGATGGAAACGGGCGAGGGCACCATCGATGGGGCCGTGGGACCCGCCGAAGCGGAGGACCGGGAGGAAGTCATGGCTTTTAGCCCATGCTGCAGATGGGATAGCTGGTGAAGATCAGGGAAAAATCCTAAACATATTTACAAAACAGAATTAGATCGGAATAAACTGATTTCAGGTTTCGGATCGCTGGTTATGTAAAGGAAAGCCACCGTAAAGATTGCAGAAATGATCGCACATGAATGAACAAGCAGATATCGTTTCAGGTTTTGGGAATTGCAGGACACATTCCTTTTTGGGCTACTCTTGTGACGTAGGTGTATATAGGGGCATTTACGCTCATTGGGTAGGTGATAAGCTGATGTGACTTGACAAATCCAGGCATTGCACCTGGCACACTGTGGAGAAACACGTTGCAATTTGTAATCCACAGAATGACACCCCCTAAATTTCACACGGAACCCCCTTAAATTGGTCATGCTCGAAGAATCATCCTGCAAAACCCGCAGGAATTGAGTGAAGAATTGGGCTTCGAGGCACCACTGTTCAGCATCCGGTGGAGGGAACGCTGAAGGGATCGGATGAAAAAATAACCAAGGAGCTACTAAGGGTTTCCTACAACGTGAGGTCCCAGAGTTAGCTAAGTTGATTTGTAACTAGCTTAACTAAGGTTTATGATAAATACATCCACATAAATTCCATATATATATATATATTTAATGGGTTTATAAACCAACTTATAACTATAACTGGTGGTTTTCACCTTGTAACCACATGATGCTGTTTGACGTATCATGCTCTCCTCCATGAAAGTGCTAGCAACACTCTTAACCATTGAAGATAAACATTGGTTGATGAAGAGTCTCCATGTTTTTATTTTCACCAAAAATAGTGATATATACAGTAGTTATATACATATATGTTTTTACCATATTAAATATTTTTGTTTGTTGTTTAAATTCGTTGATATACGAATAACCTCAATATTTGGTGGCCATGTTTTCATCAAACAGGACCAGGACCGGGTCTCCAGTTCCACCAGTGCCAGGTGCCTCCAGATGCCAGACTTGAAGATGTCGGGGCCTCAGAGACCTCGACGTCCCGTTATATATTTTTTGATCAGCCTGAAAGAAGCAGAAAATATAGATAATTAGGTAGGAATATATTCAGAAACCACTGCGTTTGTGAGTTTGACTGCTCCATTTTGTTTGGAAAGCAAATGTGAAGAAGTTTAATGCATGACCATTTAAGTGGATTGACACCAATTTGTCACTTTTCATGAGAAGTTGAGACATCCTAGATACTGCTGGTGACATTGACAATCTCATAGGTCACTGTTGGGTGTATCCTTCATGTTCCGTAGACATTCATAGTGTAAGTCTGTTGCAGGCAGGGCAGTGAAACATGGTGAAGCCCCAAGTTTCTTGGTCAAAAGAACGCTTCCATCAGTCATAGTATTTCCAATGAAAGATAAAACAGGTTCAATTTACCACCATTTTAAAGTATAGAAAGCATAGAAAGTATAACTGTTCTATCCTAATTTGGGGGTTGCAATTTTTCTGTGCCACTTGTGTGTGCCACGCACCACAAAAAAAATGTGCAGTTGCCGACGCTGAACGACATGGCGGATCTGGACAACGAAGGGGTGGACTTGGAGAGGGAGCGAGTGCCTAGGCGCAAATCCCCAGATTTCATGTGTAGTGATTATGGGTATATATATAACATTATATAACCCAATCAATAATGTTTTTTTTTTTTTTAATCATGGGAAATGGGATTGAAACCACCAATATATATATAGATATAACCAATGATTATTTCGATTGATTGGTGGTTTCAACATGTTTCAACACATACTTTTTGGAAAGAAGCAAGACATAGAAATGGGATGATCCTGAGGGACCCTTTTTTATTTTCCAGGGGGTTGGAGCCCAGCAAGCAATCATCTGAGTATGTATATATAACAATATTTATATATATATGATTTGTGTTTGGCCCCCTCCAATCCAAGATGTCGGACAACGCGCTGGTAGTGAAATGGCCTTTGGTGGCACCCTTGAGATTCCATTGCTTCGTCCGGTGGTTGCTAATATCAAATGTTATTTAATAGGTTTCATGAGGTTTCAACCTGGATACATAAAGTATCATAAAGTGCTATAGGGTCTATGATTTCCTACGCTGTAGACTTTTTGTATCTTTTTGTGTAATTCCTGGTTCCGTCCGTTTGATTTCCGGAACCATGACTCGGGTTCCAAGAGATCAGCAAAAAAAAACGCCCAGTAAATACCTTCATCACCTTGCTGAATCTCATAGGGCACCCCAGAAAGAGATTCCTCATGTCATCCTCTTCCTGCAAACAGCTATAGATTTGGATATCTCATGATATCGCCATATTTCATCCTTTTTTGGACATCTCGGACATCACGTCATCAAATCAACTAAATCCCCGGTTCAGCCACGATTCAATTCGGAATCATACAGGTGTTTCCTGAAATTTGGGCAACCCTTTTCGCCACAGGAGTCCGATTGCAAAAAAATACCAATACCTTGGATTACCTTTGATATTTTTTTGGGACCCAATTTTTAGGAAACCCATCATCAGCCATCATTATTTCACAATTATGTCATGTCGATTAAATCCTTTTATTATATTATATTATATTATTTTATTTTAGTTATATTATATTATATTAAATTTTAATATTATATTATATTATATGCTATTTTATTTTATTTTATTATGGTATAATTAATCATATTACATTATTTTATGATATAATTATATTATATTATATTATTTTTTGATATAATTAATTGTTATATGTTATTATATATTATATCAGATTTTTCTTGGATTATATTATACTATTTTATGATATAATTATATTATTTTATTTAATTTCATATTAGAGTAGGCATATATATATATATTAATTCCTATCCCTATTAAATCCCAAATTCCCAGGATATGTTCCCAAGATATGCTTGGATGGTTGAAACTCTTAAATTATAGTGACTTCCAATCTATTCCATTGAGCCAAGGAAGAACTCTACAATTCCAGCATGAACGAAGAGCTTTCGGACACTTTGGCACAATGCAAAGCGGATCGATGGAAATGGACATATCTTATACATCTTTGGTGATGATTATCTTGGGACAGATTAAGTGAATGTTGGGAAACCTGCAGAAATAAGCACTCGTACTTGTAATGTAAGTGACCAGTTGTATACCAGGACGAAAAGAAGGCAGCGAAAAGTAGGAAAAGTGAAGCTTTGGATCTACAGCTACGGGGCATAAAAGTAATCATCCTGAGGAGCTAAAAATCCATAGATTTCAATACATACCAAGTATGGCCTCAAAGTGCCTCAAATATACTTTCCACTTGGCACAATGAGCAAATCTTCGAATCCTTCGCAGTATCCCAATGATCCCCGGTGACAAACCCAGCGCGCACCAACTGGCCTCATTGCCCAGAAAGTGAGTTGCGCACCTCCCTTGGAACTGATGATGTGCTTTCAGGCTTGGGTGTTCAGCTTTACCGAGTTGCGAAGATGATCTCAGATTATCTAAGATGTTTCCTATTGATTCCTGAAGTTTGCAAGTCGTGCGCAAGTCATTGGATTTTTTAACACCTTGACTATTACTATTCCTTTTCATGTCCTTCATCTTCGGAGATCATCCAAGTGGTGTTCACGTAGAATGCAATCACCTTACCTAGGAGAACAGTAGTCAATTACATAGATGTGTAAAATCATATGGCATCATATATACGTATATATATATACATATATATTATACGGTATATATATATAGACAGCATATGATATGTATATACATACATACATACATACCTACCTACCTACCTACATACATACATACAGACAGACAGACACACAACCTTTAAATGATGTGAACAATGATTTTGTGTGAACCATGATATTCAAGGCGGTGTCATCATTTCAGGCAAAGCCAGGTGGTGTCCAGCTAATCTTGTGTGGAGGTTTGAGACTGAACACTGTGTTGTGTTTATTGTCTTCTGTGTGATCTTCTGGACTTCTGGTGGCTATATGTTGGTATCCTAAAATAGGGGTGCCCCTAAATCAACCATTTTCAGAGGATGTTCCATGAAATAAACGAGCTATTGGGTACCCCCATGACTATGGAAACCCCCTTAGCAGATGCCAGGAGTTCAGGAGCAAAGAGGGGGTCCGATTGGTCACAACCCAAAAGGTTGGGTAAGTCAATGGGGTAACAGTTGTCTACACGTGTTTTTTTGGTGCAACACACCATACCCAGCTTCAAGTTATTTGTTGCTAGGCATCATAGTGGACTCAAGGACCGAGCTTGGGACAAGATACAAGGACACAATGATATGTGCTATTTGCGGTTCATCTCGGCCATGTTCAAAGCATCTACTATAGAATCTGCTGCAACTATATAATTTTGAACACATACTGTAGTTTCACAAGATTTTACAAGTCATGTTCGGTAACAAAATAGATTATATAAAGAACCATGCTTGTCCCATGATAGAATTTCCCACCCGGATTATCCCGGATTACCCAAAAACAAGCATTTGCGGCCAGTCTGCGCGAGAATCCATGTCGGAGGCGGCCCAGGCGTTGCAAGAAATAGCACTGCGGAGAGGTTGAGACACTCATTGAATTTGGTCTTGCTATGCATTATGTTTGGACTAATGCATTCTTATTGTGGATGGAAGAAATCCTGCACCAGTTCTTGGTGGTTTATATTGGTTTATCCCATTATTTACAGGGTTTCAACCATCCAAGGTGGTGCAGGATTTCTTCCACCCACCGTATGTTAGTTTTTGACGTCAGTTTCTGTGAGATCAGACTTGATGTTGAAGTCCTTGGGATGCGCCAAAATGACTCTCCAGCATCCACTTTCAGGCGGCAAGAGAGGCAGCAGATCTCATTCGCGGTGCCAACCCGGACGGGGCAGGGTCAGGAAATGCTGGGAAGGGGATGGATTACCCTCTAGCTATGACTAACATAGCCATGGGAAATGGGCCATTTATAGAGGTTTACCTATTAAAAATGGTGATTTTCCATGGCTATAATAAATAAACAGATGGTTTCGTTTATTGACCCCAGTTATAAACCAGTCGCGAGGTCGTGGGGTGAGTCCAAAAACTCGGCCGCCGCAGAAGATGTCTCTTGGTTGACAAACCAAACCAGGATGGGGATGAAACTCTAGGGACATAAGGAACCACCAAAAAGAACACCTTAAAAAACATACAAAGTCCTGGTTCATCAGTGGCGTTCTGGCAAATAAACTTCCAAATATCATCAAATATCTAGGAATATCCATATCTAGGAATATCCAAGACTGGTAATAGTCATCCCAATATAGGTAATGAAGATTCCCAATCTCTCCAAGAGCCGCCTGGTGTAGGACGCGGTCCCTCCACCCGAAGCTGAGCCGCTTCCAGAAGCTCAGGACAGCTGAGGTGGACCTGTTGAAGTTACCATACCCTGAACCTTGGGTTAATCCAGTCTGGGTAAATTATAACGACCTCACTGCGATCTCACTGGGAATCATGGTTAATAAGGGAAATCATCCCCAAATGGTAATGGCCTTAATTCAGGTTAGTGAAATATCATAATTTACCCAGATCCAGTTGCAGATGGGTTTATCATTGGTTAATCATTGGTTAATCCATGTCAACATCAACCAACTGGATGAGTATTTGAGATTCCTTGAGTGTTTGGCTATGCAAAATAACCACAAGCAGCATACGGTGTTTTTTTGGTGGACGACCAAAGATTGACCATGTAAAGTGACATAGCCGACATAGCTTTTGTTTACATTTAGATGGCCCATTTAGTTCGATTCTAGTGTTGGATCTATCAAAGATATATTAAACATGGTGATTTCCCATGTCACACACTGTTAACTTAGCTTAGGGTAAGTGAATAAAAAACATTCAGGACGTGGTTTTCAATCAGAAATCCCATCAGTTGGGATCATGATCCCGATGGATGTTGAGCTATTCCCCCAGGATATCTTGGACCTCACAGGGTGGTGCTCCCAAGTTGGTATGTTCACCCCAAAATATTTTAAGCATGTGTGTATATATATATATATACACATTTGGTCAGCATAAACCCTAGCTAAGCATAAATAACCATAGTTATCCTACTTATATCAGAACTACTGCTGAAGTCCACATGTTTGGCGGATTGGTGGACAAAAACCTCCAGGGTGGGGCCCCAAACGATAGCCACGTTGGTGCAAAGTTCACTGGGTGAATTCTATGGTTTGTGGTAGATACAGTATATTTATTGACCTGTTTAGATGAGGTTATAAACCAACAAACATAACAACTGGCATAAGTATTCGGGCAAAATATACACTATACAATAGATATAAACTAAATTCACAATAAACATAGAATAAATACAGAATAAATATGGAATGAATATAGAATAAATATAAAATAAATATACAATAAATATAGAATACATATATACGATAAACAATATACAATAAATATAGAATCAATATGCAATCAATATGCAATCACGATACAATAAATATGCATCATACATCCATTTATAGACGATTCTGTCGAGACTTTTTCTCAACAAAAAACATCACTGGGGGCCCATCGATCTGTCGGCAGGAGTTGCCACCAGAGGAGATGGAAACGGGCGAGGGCACCATCGATGGGGCCGTGGGACCCGCCGAAGCGGAGGACCGGGAGGAAGTCATGGCTTTTAGCCCATGCTGCAGATGGGATAGCTGGTGAAGATCAGGGAAAAATCCTAAACATATTTACAAAACAGAATTAGATCGGAATAAACTGATTTCAGGTTTCGGATCGCTGGTTATGTAAAGGAAAGCCACCGTAAAGATTGCAGAAATGATCGCACATGAATGAACAAGCAGATATCGTTTCAGGTTTTGGGAATTGCAGGACACATTCCTTTTTGGGCTACTCTTGTGACGTAGGTGTATATAGGGGCATTTACGCTCATTGGGTAGGTGATAAGCTGATGTGACTTGACAAATCCAGGCATTGCACCTGGCACACTGTGGAGAAACACGTTGCAATTTGTAATCCACAGAATGACACCCCCTAAATTTCACACGGAACCCCCTTAAATTGGTCATGCTCGAAGAATCATCCTGCAAAACCCGCAGGAATTGAGTGAAGAATTGGGCTTCGAGGCACCACTGTTCAGCATCCGGTGGAGGGAACGCTGAAGGGATCGGATGAAAAAATAACCAAGGAGCTACTAAGGGTTTCCTACAACGTGAGGTCCCAGAGTTAGCTAAGTTGATTTGTAACTAGCTTAACTAATGTTTATGATAAATACATCCACATAAATTCCATATATATATATATTTAATGGGTTTATAAACCAACTTATAACTATAACTGGTGGTTTTCACCTTGTAACCACATGATGCTGTTTGACGTATCATGCTCTCCTCCATGAAAGTGCTAGCAACACTCTTAACCATTGAAGATAAACATTGGTTGATGAAGAGTCTCCATGTTTTTATTTTCACCAAAAATAGTGATATATACAGTAGTTATATACATATATGTTTTTACCATATTAAATATTTTTGTTTGTTGTTTAAATTCGTTGATATACGAATAACCTCAATATTTGGTGGCCATGTTTTCATCAAACAGGACCAGGACCGGGTCTCCAGTGCCACCAGTGCCAGGTGCCTCCAGATGCCAGACTTGAAGATGTCGGGGCCTCAGAGACCTCGACGTCCCGTTATATATTTTTTGGTCAGCCTGAAAGAAGCAGAAAATATAGATAATTAGGTAGGAATATATTCAGAAACCACTGCGTTTGTGAGTTTGACTGCTCCATTTTGTTTGGAAAGCAAATGTGAAGAAGTTTAATGCATGACCATTTAAGTGGATTGACACCAATTTGTCACTTTTCATGAGAAGTTGAGACATCCTAGATACTGCTGGTGACATTGACAATCTCATAGGTCACTGTTGGGTGTATCCTTCATGTTCCGTAGACATTCATAGTGTAAGTCTGTTGCAGGCAGGGCAGTGAAACATGGTGAAGCCCCAAGTTTCTTGGTCAAAAGAACGCTTCCATCAGTCATAGTATTTCCAATGAAAGATAAAACAGGTTCAATTTACCACCATTTTAAAGTATAGAAAGCATAGAAAGTATAACTGTTCTATCCTAATTTGGGGGTTGCAATTTTTCTGTGCCACTTGTGTGTGCCACGCACCACAAAAAAAATGTGCAGTTGCCGACGCTGAACGACATGGCGGATCTGGACAACGAAGGGGTGGACTTGGAGAGGGAGCGAGTGCCTAGGCGCAAATCCCCAGATTTCATGTGTAGTGATTATGGGTATATATATATAACATTATATAACCCAATCAATAATGTTTTTTTTTTTTATCATGGGAAATGGGATTGAAACCACCAATATATATATATATATAGATATAACCAATGATTATTTCGATTGATTGGTGGTTTCAACATGTTTCAACACATACTTTTTGGAAAGAAGCAAGACATAGAAATGGGATGATCCTGAGGGACCCTTTTTTATTTTCCAGGGGGTTGGAGCCCAGCAAGCAATCATCTGAGTATGTATATATAACAATATTTATATATATATATGATTTGTGTTTGGCCCCCTCCAATCCAAGATGTCGGACAACGCGCTGGTAGTGAAATGGCCTTTGGTGGCACCCTTGAGATTCCATTGCTTCGTCCGGTGGTTGCTAATATCAAATGTTATTTAATAGGTTTCATGAGGTTTCAACCTGGATACATAAAGTATCATAAAGTGCTATAGGGTCTATGATTTCCTACGCTGTAGACTTTTTGTATCTTTTTGTGTAATTCCTGGTTCCGTCCGTTTGATTTCCGGAACCATGACTCGGGTTCCAAGAGATCAGCAAAAAAAAACGCCCAGTAAATACCTTCATCACCTTGCTGAATCTCATAGGGCACCCCAGAAAGAGATTCCTCATGTCATCCTCTTCCTGCAAACAGCTATAGATTTGGATATCTCATGATATTGCCATATTTCATCCTTTTTTGGACATCTCGGACATCACGTCATCAAATCAACTAAATCCCCGGTTCAGCCACGATTCAATTCGGAATCATACAGGTGTTTCCTGAAATTTGGGCAACCCTTTTCGCCACAGGAGTCCGATTGCAAAAAAATACCAATACCTTGGATTACCTTTGATATTTTTTTGGGACCCAATTTTTAGGAAACCCATCATCAGCCATCATTATTTCACAATTATGTCATGTCGATTAAATCCTTTTATTATATTATATTATATTATTTTATTTTAATTATATTATATTATATTAAATTTTAATATTATATTATATTATATTATATGCTATTTTATTTTATTTTATTATGGTATAATTAATCATATTACATTATTTTATGATATAATTATATTATATTATATTATTTTTTGATATAATTAATTGTTATATGTTATTATATATTATATCAGATTTTTCTTGGATTATATTATACTATTTTATGATATAATTATATTATTTTATTTAATTTCATATTAGAGTAGGCATATATATATATATTAATTCCTATCCCTATTAAATCCCAAATTCCCAGGATATGTTCCCAAGATATGCTTGGATGGTTGAAACTCTTAAATTATAGTGACTTCCAATCTATTCCATTGAGCCAAGGAAGAACTCTACAATTCCAGCATGAACGAAGAGCTTTCGGACACTTTGGCACAATGCAAAGCGGATCGATGGAAATGGACATATCTTATACATCTTTGGTGATGATTATCTTGGGACAGATTAAGTGAATGTTGGGAAACCTGCAGAAATAAGCACTCGTACTTGTAATGTAAGTGACCAGTTGTATACCAGGACGAAAAGAAGGCAGCGAAAAGTAGGAAAAGTGAAGCTTTGGATCTACAGCTACGGGGCATAAAAGTAATCATCCTGAGGAGCTAAAAATCCATAGATTTCAATACATACCAAGTATGGCCTCAAAGTGCCTCAAATATACTTTCCACTTGGCACAATGAGCAAATCTTCGAATCCTTCGCAGTATCCCAATGATCCCCGGTGACAAACCCAGCGCGCACCAACTGGCCTCATTGCCCAGAAAGTGAGTTGCGCACCTCCCTTGGAACTGATGATGTGCTTTCAGGCTTGGGTGTTCAGCTTTACCGAGTTGCGAAGATGATCTCAGATTATCTAAGATGTTTCCTATTGATTCCTGAAGTTTGCAAGTCGTGCGCAAGTCATTGGATTTTTTAACACCTTGACTATTACTATTCCTTTTCATGTCCTTCATCTTCGGAGATCATCCAAGTGGTGTTCACGTAGAATGCAATCACCTTACCTAGGAGAACAGTAGTCAATTACATAGATGTGTAAAATCATATGGCATCATATATACGTATATATATATATACATATATATTATACGGTATATATATATATAGACAGCATATGATATGTATATACATACATACATACATACCTACCTACCTACCTACATACATACATACAGACAGACAGACAGACACACACACACACATACATACATACATACATACATACATACATACATACATACATACATACATACATACATCCATCCATCCATCCATCCATCCATCCATCCATCCATACATACATACATACATACCTACATAAGTGCATGCATACATACAGACATACAGACATACACACATATACACACACATACACACATACACACATACACATATACACACATACACACATACACACATACACACATTCACACATTCACACATTCATAAATTCATACATTCATACATTCATACATTCATTCATTCATTCATACATACATACATACATACATTACACACATTACATACATTACATACACTACATACATTACATACATTACATACATTACATACAATACATACATTACATACAATACATAACATTACATAACATTACATAACATAACATTACATTACATTACATTACATAGATAGATAGATAGATAAGGTAAGATAAGATAAGATAAGATAGATAGATAGATACATAGATAGATAGATAGATAGATAGGTAGATAGATATATATATATAGATAGATAGATAGATAGATAGACAGATAGACAATAGATAGCTAGATAGATAGATAGATAGATACATAGATACATAGATAGATAGATACATAGATAGATAGATACATAGATATATAGATACATAGATAGATACATACATACACGTGTAGATTAACCAATATGCAAATACGTCCGTATAGATACAGACTTCATTTCGGAGCTTAAAGCCGCCATGCATGAACCTAGAGGGTCAGTGAACCTCACAAGAACTCTTGGTCCCTTTGCTTTGATGTGGGTGTGTCTGAAGATGGGGTATGTATAGATATGTATAGTATACGTCTACGTATACTTGCCTGTCAACTTGGAGAACATATGGAAAAAATGATGGACTAGTCTTTTTGTCCGGGATCCTATTTTCAAAAGAAGCCACGTTGCGCTTCATGCAGGTACAGCTTCCCCAAACGCGTCGTCATCAACATCGCCGGTTGGGAAACCCAGGAGACAATGTAGCAGACGTCATGACATGATCATGCCGGCAGCCTTCCGTGGATCTGCACACCGCCGAAGGTTCCTGATCAATGTTCATTGAAAACAAACGATTTAATGAACAGAAAAAAATGAAAATTGTTATATAATTCGTTCGATTAATAAATAGATTTCAAAGATCAGTGGAATATCCTAATTGAAATATGAATTATGAAAGAATGAATTTGATATATATATATATATTTATTTAATAATGTTGTAATTAGAATACAAATCTTGTGTGTGTGAAATTTTTTGTTTGTAAAGGCGTTTGTGTGTAATAGCTTGTATGTAGACGCGTTAAACATGTATGCGAATAAAAAATTCTGTGTGTAGAAGCTTTTGTGTCTAAAGCGTGAAACGTCTGCGTGAAACGTTTGCGTGAAACGTCTGCGTGAAATATTTGCGTGAAACGTCTGCGTGTAAAAATTTCTGTGTGTAAAAGCTTCTGTGTTTAAAAATTTTTGTGTGTATAAATTTCTGTTTATATAGGCGTTTGTGTAACAACGTCTGTATGTAAACGATGACGAATATGTAAAAGCTTGTATATATAAATGTGTTTGTGTGCCAAAACTTTTATATATAAATAATTCTATTTGTAGTAGCAGGTTGTGCGTTAAAGTATATTAAAGCAATTTTGTGTAAAAAGGTTTGTGTAAATGTATGTATGTATATTTGAGAATTAAAAAAATATATGTAGAAATTTTTAAAT